TTGCTCACAAGGATATTCCAGAGATTTGTTGAGTTTGTGCATTTTTGTAGGTTCATAACTTCCGTTTTAGTGAATAACACTGTAGTGTTTTAGCCTTTTTATTTAAATTAGGATAATATCAATAATTAATAACATAACAGTTTAGTGTGTTAGCTTGGATGTCTGTTAACGTGAATTAAGGTTGTATTTTATATAATTTTGTGAGGTTTCAATCCTTCATATTTAAACAGCTCAGGTCATTTCACACCACAAGTAACACTGCAGGGTTTTCACTTCAATATTCAAACTTAAATCTTAATGTTCTGCACTTTGCCTCACCTGTGCTTGTTTTATGTGATATTTGACTTAAAGTTTGCCAGTTAAAGGACTTTTGCGTCAACACGGGAGCCCAAAGTGTTGCCTTTTCTTTTCAGTGCATTTTAAACGCGCAGGTAGCAGCGCACCTGTCGTCTCTGCTGCAAAGTTTTAGCCCAAAGTCTTTATGTTTTCTGTAAAACCGAAATGTTCTCATGAACAACACAAAGACACAAAACGGTTGTTTCCTACCTTTGAAATCTGCGCTCAGTGTGGTGTTGTTTTCGTGTAAACCGAGAAAACCACAGCCCACCTTTTCCTCACTTCCTGATGTTCTGTCTCACTCACCTGTGCTGAGCCACGCCCACCACCTGAGGCGCTTCCACCCTCCAGCAGCGCGCATGTGCAACTCCTTTCTGAGTAATATTAGCACGTTTTATTATAATAATTCAACAGTATTATGCTTATGACTGAATGCACTCCAACGCTGATTTCAATATTTGTTCAGTTTGATCAGAAATACAGGACAAAAGCTGCTTCACCAAAAATGTTGAGCAGAAACTGAAAATGATAAATTAAAAAATAATCTTTTGTTTTTTTTATTATTATTCTCAACTTCCAAAACCCCCCAAAATGTGCGACTCATGCCTCAACCCGGACGAGAACGGACACAACGCACGCGGTCACGCTTCAATCAAAAGCTCGTGGAATTAATCCACGACGTGACTGCGAGCTCTTCCGCCGGATACGGATACACTTCCAAAATAAAGGTCGCTTAAAGGCGCGACTGTTCACAGAGAGCAGTTCAAACACCCTTTAATTACACAGAGTTGTTTATATAAGAGCGCGACAGAACTCTCATTTTAAGTAAACAGCTGAGTATCCGCTGCTGAATGGGACGGGCTCAGTCCAGACAAAGTCCTCTTCTGTTAAACTTTGCTTTGCCTCGGACACCCGTCAATGAATGTAAATTATTAGTGATCACACCTACTCCCTCTGATGGAGCTACACAGGCTACAAACTGGTGAAAAAAGTGACAGAATGTGACACAAAACGGGATGCAAAATGACTGTTAAAAGATGTAAAACTACCTAAATGTGACACAAAATGACCAAAATGAGATGCAAAATGACTAGAAAAAGACATAAAGCTACCATAATGTGACGACTAAAGTGGGATGCAAAATGGTGCAAATGTGACACAAAATGACCAAAATGAGAGGCAAAATGATTGTTAAAAGATGTAAAACTACCAAAATGTGACAACAACAAAAAAAATACCAAAATGGGACACAAAATGACAAAACAGGATGCAAAAATGGCACAAAAGTTGCTCAGAGTTACACAGAATATGGAAGATTTTTTTTTAACCATCTCTTTCCTCAAGTTTTTGCTGAAATCCCAGTCAAAGCAGATTCATTTGGGGGAAGAGTGTGAGGACTTCAATAAATGCATACATACATACATACATACATACATACATACATACATACATACATACATACATACATACATACATACATACATAAACCACAATAAAATCTGGTTAGAAAAGCTGCCAAAGCATCACATGTAGTGCAATTTAAAAAAAAAAGAAAAGAAAGAATGAAAGAAAAAGAAAACAAATACATGTAATTAATTCAGTGAAATGAAGACACTGAATAAGATGAAAAACAGAACAAGAGACTGTAAAAAAAGAAAAAAGAAGAAGTTTATACGAGGCCATGAATTGTCATATTCAGTAATGTTTAAGTTACGTGTCCTTGAACTTGTGGCACGCGGTTACATATTGTTCAACAGTCCCTTGTCGAACAGAATCTGTTCCTATTATAGTTCTAGTAAAATCTTTTGAAGTGATACTGAACCATATTAGTGTATTTGTCACGTTTTAATAGGCAGTGCATCTCTGTCTCCACCTCACCTGTCATGCAGAGACCATTTATTTTGTTCATAGCCACCAGTTCTTATGTCAGTCTTTGTCTGTTGCTCGACTTTGGTCGCTGAGTCTGTATACGGTCACGTTCTGTGTCTGCTTTGTATCTCTGGCAGTATACAGATATTCTGACAATTTATTTTTGATAATTTAAGGCTAGCTAGCAATGGAGTTTGGGTTTGATTCCTCCAAAGATCTATATAAGTATGTTTTGTTCATGCAATAATTTTGTCGAAGAAGCAGTGCAGATCTAAGGTTGACTAGAGTTTGGTGTTATCTGATCAATAAGTTTCAGGAACAACTCTTGGTTTGTAGGTCCTCAATCTTTCTCACAGGCTCGATTTGAGGCATAATCAAGATGAAGGCATCACTTTATGAAATGTTATTATAAAATAGGTATCAGCTTCAGTGAATGAATCGGTTAGTGATTTTCTTTAAATGTCTAATATAGAGCCCTGCATGTAGGACCTCTATGGTATACTTGTCCTGTTTAGTGTAATCCTTATGATTGAGGGGACCCCAACCATTAACTGGATTGTGCTGTCAGATATTTTAGTTCAAATTTTTTTGGCTATTTTATAGTTAAAAGATCCAGGTGCTCTTCGGGCCATATTCTAATAAAGGGACATGGTCTCAAGCTCTGCTATTATTTAAATGTATGCTTATGAAAACTTTAATTAATAATGTGACTGCAAATCCCACAGCACCAAAGCTCCTGTAGTCACTGCGGGAAAGAAACTAATATAATGTGATGTTCTGGTACCAGTACACTCAAAGGTCTGAAGGCCTCGGGTGCATGACTGGACTGAACGCGGGGGGGCTTTTATTGTGAAATCTCAGAGGAGCCCGTCACTGGAAGTGTTTGTCTCGAGCTCACGCTGCCTCTACAGCCGAGCGCGCGCTGCTCAGGCTAGCACGCGAGGAAGCTGCTAGACGGAAATGGCGGTGACGGCCAGGCGAGCAGCATGAAGTGCTGATGCATTACACGGATCAAAACTTTCGACCGCCAGGACACCGTTGGGCAAATGACAATGGCGTCGAAGTAGAACACCATCCGTAGCTGTTATTACAAACCCACGACACCTTCCCGGGAGACTTTTCATCTTGTCAGCGGAGGAGAGAAAATCTCACCGGGAGCATGGCTTCTTACAGCAACCAGGTAGCTAAGCTAGTCGGCTAGCGTTAGCCTGCAAAACAACTCAGTGCTGAACGCACTCGTAACTGGTATTTATAGACTCACGACCGACCCTCGCTGGCGCAAAAATCAGAGCCAAGCTAACGTCCCGCTGTGGTCGCATTTCGGTCAGTTGCGTGTTGTTATTTGAAATTTCTGGCTGGTCGTGTCATTGAAAATGTAAGTAGTGAAAAGTGCTTGCTAATGCCCCCCCTAAGCCTCATTGAAACACCACCAGCATGGTAGCTAACAGGCCCTGGGTCCCTCCATTCAAATGAGCCAGCGCTGCTCTCTGCTGCACTTGTTCGGGACGTGACAGCCGCTTTTCGCCAAAAGGCACGAACGCGGGTTTAATCTGATGCCGGGGACACTTTAGTGGTGGATCCCACGCGTGTCATGTGTGAAACCTCAGAGAAAAGTGACCGAAAACTGCTGCGTGTGTGCATGGCCCACCTGCGACAGGCCTTCCCCGATACCATATTTTCACAACTGGTAATAAACACCAAACTAAGCGCGTTAACGGTGGTTCGGAGGCGTAATAACGGTTCCGCGGGACGTTTTGCATGCGATAACTTGCGGTTTCGGAGCAGCGGCGCGACAGGATACAGCGAATTCAGGCTGCTCGCGTAGCTGCTAGCAAGCTAACAGCTTTTTCACAGGTGGTGTGCTTACAGTTTGCTGTCAGTCCGCTAGCTGGTTAGCTAAATACAATGCGACAGTGTGGGCCTTCGTGGATAGCCAGCGTTTATTTGAAATGGAAATAATCAGAAGGGGATCGATCCTGCAGCTTTGCCGCGTGTGCCGCTGCGGCGTGACTCGAGTTAGATTGTCAGCAACTTGGAGCAAGTTTTGGTGTTATTTCTGTGGCAGCTAGCTGTCATGTGGGAAGGCCCATTTTGAGGTCTAGCTGTGCATGCAGAGACATGCCAGGTTTTTGAAGTTTGTAGTATATGACTGGATTAAAGTTTAACACGAGGCATAAATCTGCACAGTAAAAATAAACTTTAAAAGTCGGGGGTTTATGCGCTGTGTCGAGTTCACACTTTTGGCTAGCAGCTAAACAAACAGGACATGGCTAACGACCATAGGAAAGGGACTTAATTCTGCATGCTTTCACACTTCTTCCTGGCCTCAGATTTAAGCGTTGCTATTGGCTCAGAGTTCAGCAAAGTGAAAGCTTAAGGGGGAAACCCTTCTCAGCGTGTTTCATGCTAAAAAAATGTGAAGTTTGTCAAATGAATGAACCCACTGGTGTTGGTTTATCTTTACTGTGGTGTGGTTTTCGTCCATATAAAGGACATGGAGAGAACAGCACAATGCAGAAAGGTTTGTAAATAGGCAAAATGAGGTGTTGACAGACGGGGCTTCACACCAGCAGTTGCCCAGCACATTTGGACCCTTGTCAACTATTTCATTTCCCTTTTCGTTGGCGACCACTTTTCTTGTCTTACAACTTCTTTGAATTCTGTAAATTAGTAGTTGAATGTTGCTGACAGCGTAGTGACAAATGTAGGTGAGTGGACATTATAATAAATATGAGGTTAACTAAAAGGAGGGGGGGAAATAAAAAAAAAACAAGTAGGGCAGCCGTATAATCAGAGGCAGAACAAGATGTACTAGCAGCACATAGGACAGCACTCTTCTGAGTGGAAACTTAGCAAACAGGTAATTCTGGAAATACTTATCAATACACTCGGTATCTGCATCGGGAGATAACCGTAGATAATATCCTGGTTATGGCGAGTCGCCCCCGTTCGTGCACTATCTAGCAAATGGCACACCTAAAAGTAGTGTTTGTGTAATTAGGAATATTTAGCCACTATTACAGAATGGTTAGACGATTTTAGTGATTTTTAAAAACAATTTCCCCCCCATTTCTTGCTGTTCTGGAAATGTTTTGTCAAATATGATATGTAGGATTCTGAAGTAATAAATGAACAATGCATTTCCTCATTCAGAAGTTCTTTTCAGAGTCTTTACAACAAATTTAAATACTCCCTTTGAACTGGTTCACAAATATCAGATTTAATTCTGATAATTTTGACAGTTAATTACAGTAACAGCGTGTTAGTAAATTTGTAGTTTACCACTATGGATGTAGTTAGGTTTTTCTGATGTTTTCTTCACCTCAAAGCGGTCTAACATCCCTACTGAAATGCCCCGTATTGACATTAAGGCTTATTGGTTTAGTTTAGACGTTACAACATTTATCGCTTGTGTAACTACAACATGTTCATGCCTCCATGTCTGAGAAATGTGGTCTTTTCCCGCAAAACTATGAAAAATGCTTAACTGAACCGTGTTTTGCAGTTAAATTATTTTTAAAATCTCAACTCATCGAATCAGAACAGCGGCGGGGAACTTCCGTCCACAGCTTGCACAATCATATCTGCTCATCCAGAGATTAAAAGTTTAGTAATGGAGAAGTCTCAGTGTAAACTACATTGTTTGCTTTACTAAAGGAATAAGTGGATGGTATGTTTTGTGTAGCTTCAGTCTGTTGTTGCAACATCCTCATTTTGTAATGTCACCTGTGAGTCCCCTCAAAGCGGGATAGTAATCCTCACCACCGCTTCCTGGGAAAAGGAATAATTGTGATCCGAGCTGCCGAAGGTTTTCAGCTAAGTCATGCTACATACATTAAATATAATAGGCAGACATTTATGATCCCGGTGGTATCCTCACATTTTGTCGCTTCCTTGATTTTCCATCACTTTTACTACATGCATTAAAAACTAAACTCATAAGTGACTTTCCCCGGCTTCAACTTTTCTAATTAGCTTTTCTTTTGTCGTCAAACACGCCTCAAAATCATTGCAGGTAATGACTATTTTAGTAATCGATGAGAGTTTTCCCGATAATGTTTATAAAATGTCCGAAGAATAATGAAAAGGTCTTCAGATGTTCAAAACCCGAAGCTTTTCTGTCTACGATTACAACATTTTTAAAAAATACTTGAGAAGCTGAAAGTAACAGATTTTTGGCAACTCAACACTAGAAAACAGACCTTAAGAATTAATTGATTATCAGAGTAGTCGCTAATTAATTTTCTGTCCGTCGGCCTAATCGATGCACTTCGACACACCATTGATTAATCCACGCAGCGATGGCAGGAAGCCCTTTTTATGAGCCAACCTATCCAACCTACTGTCATATTAGCGAGAACGGACTAAATATTAAAAACAGCGCCACAAACTGCTGCCTTCAGATGTAACGTAAAGTCGAATCGGCTCCTAAAAACAGCTGTAATGAAAACTGAGCGTAGCGTTTAAAGCAGAATGTGTTGCCGGGCAGCCCAGTGTGTAATTACTGGTGAAAAGTTGAGGGGTTTGATTACAGGGATTCAATTTAACTGCTACGTAACAGCGCTAATTGTCCTTGGGATAATTAATATTGGGGCCGGTTGTATGTAATCGGCATTCCAGTTTCATTCTTCAATCCTCCAAGTCTAGCAGGTGTAAGAATGGTTCAAATAACGAACAATTCCCATTAATTGAAAGTGGCTGTTTGGTGACTTACTGCCGTATAAATAAAGGAACCACGTTGTTGAATTGCTGAGCTGTTGCTTTTTGTGTGAGCGCACGTGTTTTAGTTTTCAGCATAAGTGGAAACGATTCCTTTCTCCCGGTGTGCTCTGTGTTTTCATGGTTTGTAATTATTGTGTCACCCTGTTACTTCATCACACCGATATGCAGGCACAGGCATGCTCCGGAGATTCATTGAGAACTCGTCTGACCTTATTTGTAGTGGCTCGACGGCATTTTCGCGCTCAGCCAAGTTGTCCATTAATAACTGCGTACCAATTTTAGAGAACAGTAGCGCTGGCCGCGTACGCCGCTATAGTTAGAACACACACAAACTGTTAGAGATGCGTCAGTTCTTGGGCCAATATAGTGAAATGAAGTTGTAATTTATAGTATTTTGAAACGCCGCTCGGTTCTGTTCAGTGTGATGGGGACTGATAGTAAGAGATCATGTAGACGGGAGCTAAATTGGGCTCAATGGCAAGATTTATGTTCCTACGTTATGCTGCGTGACTTCACCTTAAGTCAGTTTTAGAAGTTTCTTGTGTATTTTGGATGAAGCTGTTGATGTCAATGGCTCGTCTTCAGTTATAGAATAAGGATCCACAATGATGTTCATTTAATTTAAGCTCGTTATGTTCTGCGTTGACCCCAGTGAGGATGAAGCAACGTATAGATAATAGATGGATGTTCTGCGTTGTCATACCTGAAACCTGTGAACTAAAATATCGCCGAAAATCAAAAGAAAGCCCGTGAAACTTAATCTATACGTTCTGATTCAGGCCCTGCCTATAGCCCTGCTGTGTGTGTGTGTCTGCGCACACGCGTGTAGTGTCGTCATTAAACTGTGCTGAAATCATACAGATGGCTAATTTGTTGTAATCCACAGTCCAAACGGACAGCAAGGGAAGCTTAGTGTGGTACGTGCGGCACGCCTGCAGAAAGCAGCAAAGGGACATTCTTTCTGTTGTGGTTGTATTAGCCGTCCTGAGGCCGTTGGATTACGGCTGGCTGTTTGTCGCTTGTAGTGCCGTTTCAGCAATGTGTGCCCTCGCGTGGGGCCTCGTTTGCAAAGAGTTACATATGCTTGAGCTGCACTTTCTTTTCTCTGCGCCCACCCTTTCACGTTCCGCTGTTTATTGCGCTGGTGAGGATTAACGGCACGGCGAGCGAGTTCATTTCACCTTTTCTCGGTCGCTTTATGGTTTTTTTTTTTTCCCCCCCGTGCACATGTGGACACAGGTGGCTCGGCGTGGCGTTCCCTCCGAAAGCCGTGAAGTTTATCTCGTCAGGGGTGGAGTACACGAATGATGAAGTGTTGATGTCATTAAGCAACGACGGCAGACAACTTCAAAGAATAATGAAATGATGAGAGGAGAGCGATATCACATCCTGCTAGTCAGATAAGGATGACTATGTAGGTCACTACCTCTTAGTCATTCTAGTGTTTATTGTTTAGCTGCATGGACTGTTTTACATTAAGGGTCAAAAAGATGGAGCAAGATGTTCAGTATAGTGTCAAGACACAAAGAAAAGCTGCTAATCACAATATTTGAGAAGCTAAAATCAATGATTTTGGCTCTAAAATGACTCCCTGAATCTACAACTTTACATCCTGTGATCAATGCTTCTGCACCTTTACTATGAACCGTTTGTAGCGGGTAAGCATGACAGGGCACTTTCTCCTCTGCTTATGAATCATCCTGAGATTTTATGCTGGACTTGTCATTGTTTGAGATGCCTGATAACTGAGTTAAAGTTAATAATTGTCAGAAAGCAGCAGCAGCAGCAGCGTGTAAATGCAAGACGGTGATCTTGTACCGCTGGAGTTAGCGTGTGGTACAGTTACGGCGAGCGGGTCGGATGTGCAGGTGGTTGTTACTGAGGCTGTAGTTGGTGACACAACAGATCTCTCGCAGCGTGTCTTTGGGGAAACTTGGTTGAAGTGCAAGCAGTCACCCATGCTGTTATCTTAAGTGATTGATTCATCCTTTTAATTATTGACTATTTACCGCTCACAGCTGACCCGAAGAGGCTTTCTGGATCCACGTAGTTTTTCTTCTGTCATCTCGAGAATTCACACCGCATTCTGTCAAAGGTTCACCAAGTTGAGACAATACGTAAACTAGTCGGGCTTGTTTCGAGGATGCTCCGTATTAACCTGCGTTAACCCCTCGCAGCTCCGCGTCGCTGAGAACAAACAGTTCAAGAATCAAATCTGAACTGTTTGTGTTCATGGTTTATGTATAACAGTGCATGACTCATCACTTCACGCCGAGCTTTACCTTTGCTCAAGCTAGCGCCGCTGTATCGGCTGCGCGGCGGCAGGCTCTTGTCGGAGTCCTTGTACCTAGATATCAGATGACGGCACCTTTTGGATCGCTTCCAGTTGTGATGTGGAAAGACCTGTCCTTCACTCTGTGCATTATTTGACTTTTTTTCTCTTGAATTTATAATGTTTTAAACGACAAAATATTCATGTTATGAGTGTTTCTTTGGTAAGAAGATCACTCCAGTAATTAATTAGTCATCTAAGGGGGGAAAAAAAAGGCTTTAAGAACGTTGGATCTTTCTTTTCAACTAATGATTGTGTTTCTTCCCACAGTACATCTTCGGGGAATTCAGCCCTGATGAGATCAATCAGTTTTTTGTGACTCCACGATGTTACGTCGAGGTAAGAAAAGGGATTAAGAAGAATTAGCAATGGTGGTATTATTATTATTATTAGTAGTAAGACATTTTTAAATGGGTTGTCATGAAGCCCCAAAGATATTTTCTGTGCCCGGTTTTGTTGGAAATCTAATTTTAAATGTTGGTATTCAATCTCTTTGTCAGTCCTAAAGTTTCTGTAACTTCACATTCTGTCTCTTTACAGCTTCCTCCGTTCAATGACAAAGTCCCGTGCGTCAGTCAGTCTTCTGGTACGTATGTTTCACTTATACACTACTGCTAGATAATTTTTCATATTAGACATTTATCAGCATCAGAACACCCCACGTTATCCGAGGGGATGACTGTTCTCCTGCTCTTAGTTGGCATCAAGTAGTTCAAAAGCACTTTTTTTAAACTGTAAGCTGGAATCCCAGGCTTAGCTGACCTGACTGGCCTGGCAGGAAGATGCTTTTCATGTAATTTTGTTTTTTTTGCATGTATTTGTGCAGACAGTATTTATTGTTTGGAATAGATTACAAGTTTGACCATTTCATTATTTTATTTTTTTTAACTAAATCATTTTTTAATTGATTTTTTTGGGCCACCGAATTAGAAATGTTATAGCAGCCACCTTTCTGTCAAATGGTACCCGTTTGCACATGACGTTTGCCTTACCTTGATTTGTATTGATTATTTAGGAAGTTACTGCACTCCTGCTGTACCTTATATTATGGAGTCTATGGGACTGCAGGTTTGCGGTGAGTTGAGGAGACTGACACCCTGTGGCTTGACTAGCTGTTGTACGTTTGCTGTAAAACTTGAAAATCCAGGTTTCCAAAAAACTGGTGGCTTTCTAAACTTTTGCGCCTGTATTCTTTCTCTTGCCTGTCGGTAATACCTGTAGAGCTTTGCATGCTCAAGATACTGTTTAAGTATCTTACCTTCTCTTGCATATAATGCATTTTCACTACTGCAGGGCTCCGAGTTGGATTAAAGTTGGACTGAGTTTTCCATATGATTTAACAATCACAGCTTATCTACTAAGGGCATAGTGATGGTTTTATGTGGTCGCTAACACGTGTGCACATATTTATCCTTACATATGGTTTTTACTGCCGAATGCAATTTACAGCATTGAAGTGTGATTTCAGTAACACTAACAGAGCATCCTCTAATCCCAGTAGAGGAAGTAACTGCTGTCTTAATGCCCTCTTAACTCTTGTAGATCGTCAGGGTTTTGCAGTTTGGGTGACCAATCAACTTTTTTTTTTTTGATGAAAGTCACTTGGATGATTTTTTCCTGATTTGCACTTACTAATGTTTCCTGTTTATTCACCTTCGCACCTCTCACTGCATAATAATTTACGACTTAAGCTGCCATGCAACACATTTTAACTACACGTGAAGTACATTTGTTCTGTGATGTCCTACATTTGCTTGTGTTGTTCCACGTCGCTGAGAGAGAGTAAGTGACCCTACACTTAAGAGTCGTCAGTTTTTAAGAAATGATGCATATTTATGTCAAAAGAACTGTCTTTGTCTCTTTGCTTGTGCACTTTTGCATACTTTAATCTATCATTACTCCAACATAGGTAAGCCTAAAGTGATTTTAGTTTATTATATAGTGTATTTTTTACAACACAGTGTGCCATGTTACTGTCTGTCCATCACTCTTACAGGTTAAATCAGGATCTCTGAAGGCAGCATTATCTGTAAAGACGACATTAAAAACGGACAATCTGAATACATAAACACAGAACTCCAAAAGTCCTACAAGAAAACTGTTTAAGTACATATCATAAACCCTGGGGGGGCAGGACTGGATGAACCCAGTTGCGCAATAACTGTAAAAAGTCTGACGAGCACACCTGCAGAGCGACACCGACAGTGTTGTCACTCGGTGTCGTACCTGCCAATTTGGTTTCACACAAATCTGAAAGCAAAAAAACTTGAGTTTCGCGATGAGACGCACTCAAACTGAAGCGCAGGACATTTGTGGAATAGTCTGTTTTCAAGTAGACAAACAGCTTAAAGCAGGAGCAGAGCAGGTTTGTACCCTAACAGGGGCTGTTTGAGAGAGAGGTCGAGGTTTTCAACCCAAACATAAAATAAAGAAGTTGAGAGCTAGACCATGCTAGTAGCATAACTCCATAGTTTGTCATAAATTTAAAAGAATGCTGATAAAAACACTCACCAAATATGAAAGACTTGTTAAACAGCTTTTTAAGTCTGGCTGTCTGACTGATAACTACCTCATAGAAAAGTCGTTATCATCAAGTGTGTTGTAGGATTTGAATCCCCCCGTCCTCCCCAGGCCTAATTGTAAATGTCGAATCACCCCACGAAAGGAATGTGGTTTTGGATAGACACAGCAGTCGTGTCAAAAATAGGTCCGGTGGAATTTCTCCTCTTTTTGCTGGTATGTCTGATCCTGACAGAGCACTCCCACGACCCCTTTGACTGATGGCTTGCTTGTTCAGAAATAAGGATTTTAGTTCAAGTTCTGCAGTGAGGAGTAAAATACAGCAGTGTCCGTTTTTTTTTTTTATATATATATGCGTAGGCTTTAGTGTGTGTTTATGGGCTGTGTTTGCTCTGTGTCTCTAATTGAGTGAACTGTTATCTGCAGCAGAAGACTATCAGCGCATTGAGTTTGGTGTTGACGAGGTGATGGATTCCAAGCCGGTTGGGGTGAACGATCCTTTGTACAAGGTGTCGAGCACCCTCAACCCGCAGGCTCCGGAGTTCATCCTGGGCTGCCAGTCGGCCCAGAAGGCTCAGCAGACAGCTCCTCCGGCAGCCGACGTCCCAGACGGAGCGCACTTCAACTCGCTGGACGGACCCGACTCGGAGGCCTCAGCCCTGGACAATCACCAGGCCTGCCAGGACATGGACGGACTCCCTGGCAGCCTGGGACAGCGAGAGAGAAAGAAAAAGAAAAAACGACCGCCGGGGTACTACAGCTACCTGGACCCGTCGACTGGCAGCAACAGCGGCGCCAGTGCAGCAGATGGAACGCCTGTGACAGCGCTGGTGAACGGACATGCACTCGGTGGCCCACACCACAGTACTGAGGATGTGGACAGTAAGGCATTGTCAGGGGCTGAACTTTCCACCCCTGGACCTGTCACCATGGCAACGTCAACAGCTGCTGTGGCAGCAGCCAAGTTTGCCCCCACATCCACTGCCAATCAGAGGACTTGTGATAGCCCTGATGACTCTTCTTTGGACTTAACAAGTGGAGCTGCCTCTTTATCAGACGGCAACAATGCAACTTCCTCCTCTTCATCCTCCTCTCAAAGCAGAGGGATGACGGAGGGGCCGAGGACTGCAGACCAGCAGCCAGATCATTTGGCTCCACAGAGCCCCGAACTTTCAGATACTCCACACAGCCCCCCCTCTAAATCACCTCTTCCTCCTTCAGCTGCTGTGGTCGCCCCCTCTGTCATCGCTTCCATTACGACTACTGAACTAGAGGGAAGGGATGTAGCGGACGTCGGGGTGGCCAATGGGCTAGCAGAGCCTAATACTCCTGTCAGTGCAGATGGACACAAAGACGACTGTGAGAGCGGGGAGCAGGCTGAGCAGGTCGCCCCAGACTCTGCTGCCCCGCCGGTAGTGACAGAGCAGGCACACTCGCCTGCGATTCCAGCTGCACCTACTGCCAATCTTCCCAAATCCTGGGCTAGCCTCTTTCACAACTCCAAGCCTCTGCCCGGGGGCCCTCAGGCCTTTGTGGAGGTAAAGAATGTTGTAGAAGTCGTGGCTCCCTCCCTCACTATGCCAGAGCAGCCTGAGAAAGTTGGGGAGGTAAAAGAAGGCCCTGTCCATGTATCAGAGGATCCTATGGCCCCTAAACTTGCAGGTATTACATAAAGATGTTTTATAGCTCACTTTTTATGCTGTCCTGGTTTTGCTCCCAGAGATATTGCTGCTGAATTGTCTCCCCTCCACATGGTGGCAATGTTGAAACAACTGTGCTGTTAACACTCCTGTTTCCAAGTGAAGATATTCCTAAACATGCCTGAAAAGAGTTGAGCTGATGAATGCTGATTATCGTAAATTCTACACGTCTGAAGCTTTAGCTGCACAGGTTGCTCAGTGACATCTCGCCACGAGGAAAGATTACCGGCATGTTGTATTCATTTCAGGAAACGAACACTAGATGGTAGCAGATATGAAGTCATCAGTCACATTTGTGTAACCCACTTTTTTGTCTACATCATCATAGTTAGACCAGGAATGCCTTACAGGTCTCACATCCTGCAAACAAAGGAAGGTTTAGCTCAGGTGGATGGTTTATTTGTCTCGTGCCATCGTCCTCTGTTACACTGTAGATGCATGGTCCTTAATTAGCCCCTGCAAGAGTGTGCACATTTACATCATGAATTGTGGCGATGAGGTTGTTGGACTATTATTTATTATTTCAGGGTGCAGCTCAGATACCATTAAATAGGATTCACTTCGTATTTAAATGTTTCCATCAGACCTGCACTTTAGGTAGAATTTGAGATGTTCAGCTCGCAGAAAGGACGACGTGATGCCGTGTCATAGCTCGACTCGGACTGAAAATGTGCAGAGTCACAGAGTCTTCAGCATTCACTATAGACAGATTATTTCAACTAGAAGAGGCAAAAATCAAGCTATGAAACAAACAATTGTGGTTTGGCTTAATGTAGAGTTGAGATGAACACACAAACAAGCACAGTTTGGTGTGATTTGAGATTTAATTTAAGGCACATGGAAAGTGTTTTGTGTTTGTCTTGTGCCACATCTGAGCTGTGTTTTTTAATCAAGTGGTCTCTTAAAAGCTGTGGGAAGATCCTCCTGTTTAGAAGAACCTGATTATGCTGCATATATGTGTCTGGGTTGTTGTAAACCCCATCGATTTGTCCATGCACAGATGCTGGTTTGTGTTTGTTTTGAACACATTCCTGTCAAAAATACACACATTCAGTCTCACTTTAAAGGCGTCGTATGTAGCTTATGAGGCAGATTTTTTTATTTTACAGTAAATTCTTTAGCTATGCACGCGAATTAACCAGAAAACCTTGTGGATCTATTTTCGTCTGCAGTGTGTAGTTTTCTACGGTTGACAGCCATGAGTCTATTACATATGGTTTGAAACGCTCTAACCACTGAATCACATAGAACGCACAGCACCGGTTGGTTATACTGACCCTCTAGGCTCTAATGGGGTTTTTCTTTTTTTCTGTGGGAGAATGGTGCGACACGGAAAAAAAAAAAAACTGTAGGCTGTAATTTGTAATGCGATTACAGGCAAATGGAAATGTATCCCCACTACTGGGCAATTTAGTTCCCGAGCAGTTTTATTTGAATGTGTTTATTTGATGGCGGTTAGTCGGTAGTAGATCCATTTGGACTTGAAAGAAACCGCCCTGCTTTGAAATGCACCAGAGTGGAGCCACAGACGAGCTGTTTGTATAGTCTGCGTGAGTGACTGATTGAAATGGAACAAAAAAGATTAGCTTCTGAGGCTTAGCATTGCAGCAAATGCAGATATACGGTGTAGTTGTTTACTAAAAAAAGTGAGCACCAAGTGATTTATGTTCTCTGTTTGTGTAAATTAATATACTACAGAGTTTGAAACAGAGCTGCTCTTCCAATTAACGCAACTCTCAAAGAACCCAAGTTGGATCATCAGTGTGCCACGTTCCTTCCACGGTATACCATAGATATGTAGAATAAAGGCTAGATGTCTCGTCTGCTGTTGGCCAATGGAATCGCACGGCCACACCGGCGGCCATCTTGGCACGGCGCACTCGCTCATCCATAACATTGTGTTGTAGTGGTGCGTGTACTTTTTAAATTACCATAACTTGCTCAGTTTTCTACTGATTTTTAAGCGGTTCGGTTTGTTCGAAACGTCAGAGGTGTAGCTATAACACCGCACTTATGGATAATTATGTTACTCTCACGGCCAACAACAATTAGTATTTTAATTATTTTGTATTTTATTTGTATTTTTGTGATTTGAATAACGTTTATAGAAAACCAAACCGTTTGTAAATCCGTCAAGAGTTCAGCGAGATAAGAGTATTTACGTTTGTGCAGATCGCTCACCGTACGTCACGTACCACAGGTTCCGCCAGAGAGCTGCCCCGAATCAAGATGGCCGCCGGTAATCTCGTTCGAAACGCCGCCTTAAGACACCTAGCCTTTATTATACATATCTATTGCGTCAATATGATCCAATGGAACTTTTCTTTTATCTTCTTTGCTTTCAAACAACATAACCTAGGATATATATAATAACATGATCATAATCAACAGATGTGTTCAGCAGAGAGAGGTTTTTCTTAAAGCAATAGTTGAATCATTTACCTCAACATGCAGGGGGGAAAGAAGCTTCACCACGCTCATGATTCATTTGTGATTAATTGTTTATTATGTGCATGAGAAGGGGGACGTATCGTCACAAAGCTAATGACTGATTTGTTTGTGCCGTCGGTTTAGTCACAGCTAAGTTCATGATCAGTGTCGCTGTAGGTCACATGTGTAAATCAAGAGTCCACGTTACCATGGGAGCTGTGGTTCTGAATGACAGCCTCCCTTCCTAGGCGTGGTACAGCATGTTCTCGCTCCTATTCACACAGTCTCTTGTGCTGCTGTTGTCACTCGAGGCAGGAATAGAAGACGAAACATTTTGTTTTGGTAAAAATGAAAATGTGCCTTTTTTTTTTTTCTCACCAAAATGGGCGCTCATTGTCTGTCGCAGGCCACCTGTTTAAGAACGCTGTGTTTGCTTGAATCCCCAGAACTTATTGAGAATGTGAAGTTGATACATAAACCAGTGTCTTTGCAGCCGAGAGGACTGATCAACAAGGGAAACTGGTGCTATATCAACGCTGTATCCTTTCGCCGATTCTTTTGCCGCACCGACTCCTTTTGGTCGTCGTGTTTACATGGTTGGCGGTTGGCAACACGACTTGTTTTGTTGTAAAACCAGATGGCACTCAGGATAAATGGTGTGAAGTCCACAGGGGAACATGTGTTTTTAAAAATACTGAAATGTTGTTTTTCTTTGTCTGCCACTTGCTGAGAAATAAGGCCTGGAAAATTATTAGAACGCCAAAAAAAAATTGCACAAAATCTGGTAAACAGTGGGTCAGGTTGATATTTTTTTAAAAAGTTTTTTTGTTTTTTGGCCTTTATTGGATAGTGTTAGTGAGAGTGAGAGAGAGACAGGAAAGTAGGGGAGAAGAATGGGGGGAGGACATGTGGGAAAGGGTCATGAGCGGGATTCGAACTCATGACCTCCACATCGGGACTGTAGCCCTGCACATGGGACGCCAGCTCAACCAGGTGAGCTATAGCGGCGCCCAGGTTGATATTTTTTGTGGGTGTTTTATGGGAACTAATGGGGAAACTTGAGATCTTTCACATCTACTTCAACTGGACAAACTCACAAAATATATTCAGAAGACATCTCAGTTTTTAGGAGATACAAAATACCTGCCAAGACTTTCCTCAAATTAAAACTTATTACTGCAGCCTGTCATATTGCTGTTTTATGTGCCGGTTTCCTCCCTAACTCTGAACACTCAGACCCTACAGGCCCTGATTGCATGCCCTCCCATGTATCACCTGATGAAGTCCATTCCTCTGCATAGCGAAACGCAGAGACCATGTACCTCCACACCAATGATAGACAACTTGTGAGTAACGTTTCTGCATGCTGATGTAAGATTTCTAAAACTGCGTTGTTGTCCAGAGACGTGACTGTTGCCTGTTTGTGTCTGACAGCGTTCGCCTGGTGAATGAGTTCAACAACATGCCCGTGCCATCTAAAACCAAACAGCAAGGTGAGAAGTCAGCGAGCACGACCCGAGACGTTCACGGTTTGCTTTGCTGTCGGCGTCACTGACGTTTCTGTGATTTGTCCACAGCTGTTGGTGATAAGGTCGTAAAAGACATTCGGCCCGGTGTGCCGTTTGAACCCACTTACATTTACAGACTCCTCACTCTCATCAAGTCAAGTCTTTCTGAGAAGGTAAGCTGTGCATGTTCACTGCAGAGCTATGTGGCAAGGTGTTTCCTCTTTTTAATGATCACACGTCCTCTGGAACAGACAGTGCTTTAGGGAGTCTCATGTTTTTGTTTTTTAAGGAGCGATTTCTCAGTTCAGCTCTTGTGAATGAAAGCAGTTCATGCGTTACACATGCTGACTCAATTCTGATTCGGTTTTTAATGAAGGAAATTGCTTAAACGCAGCGATTGATATTTAAAAGGTTTAATTAGCCTTAATCTCATCTCCTGTCTCACTGCGTACACGCTTCCTCGTCTGTTTACCTCCACGAATGACTGCGTGCGCACATTCAAGCGTGCGCGCCGGCAGTTTTATCCGACAGTCGGCATTCTTGGCGGCGTGTTAATTGGTGCTGATGTGCTGATGTGCTCTGCTCTCAGGGTCGACAAGAGGATGCGGAGGAGTATCTCGGGTTCACTCTCAACGGATTGCACGAGGAGATGCTGGCGTTGAAAAAACTAATTTCGCCTCAGGAAGAGAGTAAGCAGCTTTTACCGCTTACATGTCGACAAACTGTCATGATAAAGTTTAAGATTGTTGCTTAAGTGAATTGTTTGCATGCCATTACGTTTTATTTAACGAGCCAACGAAGAGTCATGACTTTGCAAACGGATCGGTGTGACCTTGAGAAAGCCAACAGGGTGGAAAGTGTCTCAAAGTTTATTTTTTATGTGTCAGTTTTTGTGGTTTTATTTTTATTTCTTGTAAAGAAAAGATAAACTGAGAGTTATTTAGTCATCTTCTTATCCCAGTATCGACCCAGTGAAGTGCTATTGATTGAGGAAAAGAGTTAATTTTTCTTTTTTCTTTTTAGGGCACTTTGCTTCAGTCATTTGAACTCTAAAGTTTTTCAATTCAATTCAATTTTATTTGTATAGCGCATATTTACAACAACAAGTCATCTCATAGCGCTTCACAAAGGCAGAAACAGAAACACCCAACAATCCAAAACATCTGGATTCCCTATAAGCTTCAGTGATTTCTCTTGTCTTTTGAACAGAAGCTCCAACACCCAACGGACCAGAGTCCCAGCCAGGTGCGGAGGAAGACGTTGCTGATAAGGAGGAAGAAGGCAGCGAGGACGAGTGGGAGCAAGTGGGTCCCCGAAACAAGACTTCCATCACTCGCCAAGCTGACTTTGTCCGCACACCCATCACCGACATCTTTGGTGGACACATCAGGTACATTGACAGGTTGTTTCTTAACTTTATCGCAGTTAACGCACCAACCTGTTGTTTAGTTGTCTGAGCTTCCTCTGCGCTGGTCACGGCTTCATGTTTCTGACCCGTGTTCACGGTGGCATTACACATTTTTCTGCCACCTTCAGCCGTCCCAACTTTTCTCCAACAAGCACCACAGTGCTTCAGAATAACAGCCATTGTGGACCGGTCGTGGTCAGAAGTCCCGGCAGCAAGACGTGGGGCACCCGTCCACAAACAAAGGTCTTAACTTTCAGACAAATTGGAAAGCGAGGACTCTGTGCGGCCGTAGCCTGCCTAAATAATATGTTCTGTGAGGTTCTGGTCTGGCACGGTCCTGGTGTGCACTGGTCGCACAGTGTCTTAAAGAATTATTTTCTCAGAAATGGCTGCGCCCGGAGAGAAATGAAATCCAGGAGTGTGTGTTTACAGAGAGCGGCGCGTACGCCTACTGAGCTTGGCTGCAGCCCATCGCCTTTTTAAGGAGCCGTTGGTTTGTCCAGAAGAATCTCTACAGGAGTGTTTGAGCAGTCAGGATGTTAGCTGGGTCACATTTTCTGGGTTAGATATTTAATATTAAGATGAGCTTGGAGTGATAATATTAAGTCAGTTATTTGAATGATTTCAGTATCAGCTGGAATTCAGACAGTCCCTGATTTTTCAAAATGAAATATAAGTTAATGGTTGTCGTATATTTGGAGTCAAGTGAATAAAGTAAATGTTTTCGTATCAGTGCCAAGAGGTATTTCTTGGCACTGATACAGAAATAATTTCACCGATATCCTGCCTCAGTGACGGGTCCAGGTCATAAATCTCTTCCTGGTTTTGTTCTACAGTTTCTAACGGTGCACTTTGTTGTTTTTGTTTTCTCAGATCGGTGGTGTATCAACAGAACTCTAAAGAGTCAGCCACTCTGCAGCCTTTCTTTACCCTGCAGCTGGACATCCAGTCGGAGAAGATTCGCACTGTCCAGGAGGCTCTAGAAACCCTGGTGGCCCGAGAGTCGGTCCAGGGCTACACTTCAAAAACTAAGCAAGAGGTACGTGAGAGGTCCTCCTGCAGGCTGCTTCAGTCAGGATCAGTGTAATACATAATCAGATAGCAGCATTTAAATATGTCTGTGTTCATGAAATATGCATTAATGATGGTTTAGCACCTAAATGAAGCGTAATTACTGCACAATGTAAAAAAAAAACAGAAACCGTCATTTAAGTTTCTCACTAAATATTGTAATAGTTGCCTCGGGCCTCAGCGCCGGCCTCACAGCTTCTGAAGAAAATACAAAACTGTCAGAAAACAGTGCCGGCTTTGAGCATGACGCTGGAACAACTGGTACAGGGAGCATCTGCTCTACAGCTGTATAATGGACATCTTTGTCGTGTTATTTTTTTGTGACCGATAAACCTATCAAGTTGTTCTTTGTCATTTTAAAGATGCTAAAGCTCAACTCTTGTCTTTTGTACTCTGAAAACCGAGTCCCTGCTCTTTAGAGTCCACCAAGCTCGTTTATTTCCAACAAAATTATCCCCTAGTGCTTTTTGTTTCCTTCTTTCCTGTTTTTGTTTAGAACAAGCATTTGGTTTGATCTTAAGTCTACAGTTAGAAGGATGATTGATTATTAATACAACCTCTGACTGCGTTTCTTTCTCCTCTTCGCGTCCTCAGATCGAGATCAGTCGGAGGGTAACTCTGGAGGAGCTGCCACCGGTGCTGGTGCTTCATCTCAAGAGATTTGTTTTTGAGAAGACTGGAGGCTGCCAGAAACTGACCAAGAACATTGATTATCCCGTTGACCTGGAAATCAGCAAAGGTACGGACGTGCACTTTACTGAGCACACTGGGTGTTCACACGTCACACTGCAGTGAACAGTGTCCATAAATGTATTGATCCAGTTTACCAGCACTTATTGTATATACAAAACTTTGAGCTTACACTGTTAGAACACTCGACTATAACTGTCTTCATTGTGATTGTACCGACTCATCTCATCGTACTTGGACGCTTGTAAGCTGTTATATCAAAGCCAGACTTTTCCAGACTTAAGTACACCTGTACATTAATCACACGTGTGTTTGTAACTTTACATTTATCACACATGTGTGTTATAGATATTTAATTCCACAAGCTGTCTGCTAAGAACGCTTTTGTCTGGACGATTGACCTGGACAAAAGGTGGTGATAGTTCCCTGGAGAATCCTTTTTGTTTTTTGTTGTTTTTATCATTTTGGTATTAAAGGCAGATTGGCTTTCAAGAGAAAGGATCTCTCCTCTAAACTTGGGAGAGATCCGTGAAAACGATATTACGCACTGATTGAATCAGATTGCTGAGTCGTGGTTGTCAGGTGGAGCTAAAGTCAGACAGCCGGAGACGTCATTGAAGGGATCAATATTATTCCAAAATTAAACTTCCTTTGGATTTAAATGTTCAAATACAGTCATGACTCGATAATCCGACCCTTAACAATCCTAGACCTGCTATCCGACAGGTTTTTAGGAAAAACGAACAGAACCCATAAAAACAGCCTTAACATACCGACAGCCTTGGATTCTGACTCTGACATGACATTTAATGTCACCAATCAGGATGACGGCGTATTATCTGACTGAACAATCCCACAGATTGGCTACGTTCACACTGCAGGACCTGATGCTCAATGAGGAGTTTTTGGTGAAATCTGATTTTTTTGCAAGTTCGTTCATATTTCCAGTTAAACACGACTTGTATGTGATCTGCTGTGTGAACTTCATACGACCCAAAAGTGTCCCGCATGCGCAGAAGAGGACATGACGACATCACACGCAGCGAGCGTGCTCAGTGTTTATGGAAGTAAACATGGATGGTAACGGTGGAGCGTATCTTGCAATTTTGAAGTTGTTGTTTTTTTTAAAGTAGTTGTTCAACCGGAACGAGCACATTTACAACATGATCGCCATGGTTGTCATGGTATCCTATCCCCCCTGCCGCCACCAATGGTGGAAACGGAAGTGTGACCACTAACTAAACTAGCATCAGCAGCCAAGTACTGTCTGTGCGTTCTGGACACTTTCACCCCATCAGAGCACTGCCCCGGGGTGGAAGTGGCCGTTCAAGCATCAAGCCCTCCCTGTATCTCGACCTCTGTCTTGACAATCCGACATAAAAGAAGGTTTTACATTTAGTGTCGGATTATCGAGTCACGACTGTATTTCACAAAATGACGCAGATTTAGATGTAGATAATTCAAATTGCTGATTTTGTCCTTCCTCAAATTCGTACAAATCGTGCCGATTCAAAACGATGCTTCCAGCTGACTTTCAGGCTCCTCCGCTGTTGGATGAAGAACATCTAAACAAAAGCTGAATTTATTGAAGCTGGTTAAGTTTTCTGCCGTATAAATCTTGAGAAGCGAACACACGCTGCGTTTAATTGTAGTTTTAGCAACGCTTTCAAAAATCTTCATCTAATGAGCAGATTTTATTTTTTAACTGCGATGTTTTTTGTTTTTTTTCAGATCTCTTGTCCTCTGGAGTGCGAAGCAAAGTTGTGAAAGGCCAAAGAACTTACAGGCTCTTTGCAGGTTTGTGTTGTTTATGCATTTGGACCACATTATTCAATCTGCTGTTAATTCACTGTGATGTGTTTCCTTCATCCTCAAAAATAACCACGCTGCCAGCTTTCTACTTTCACAACTTCTGTCTCTTTCTTTGTCGACGTGCAGTACATCTAGTTGACAGAAGTCCTTTGATTTCACAACACCAAGTACTTTGGGATCATAATTTTTTAAATGACCCAGCAGAGACTAATAATAAATCTCTGAAAGAACCTAAATGCATGTTTTTTTTGTGTGACAAAGACGTTTCAGTGATTAAAGAGTCGTAGGAGTCACTGGAAACTCAAGCTATACGTGGTTTTATTACAGCGTATGTAGGCTTTTGTTCACATAAAGTGTGTTCTAGTTATAGAGCTGTGAGTCAACTGCTTTCACAACAAAACGCTGACTGTGCAGTGCCCCACTTTCAAGCCACGGATGAGTAAAAACTCGCAAATCAAATATTCCACATCTCTCAAATCTAACTTTTCCCTCCCCTCCATCTCCCGACTCCACCAGTTGTCTATCACCATGGAAACAGCGCGACAGGCGGTCACTACACCACGGATGTCTTCCACATCGGTCTTAACGGCTGGCTGCGCATCGACGACCAGGCGGTGAAGGTCATCAACCAGTACCAGGTGGTGAAGCAGACTGCAGAGCGCACCGCCTACCTGCTGTACTACCGCCGCGTCGACCTGCTGTAGACACACACACACATACACACCTACGCACACACATCCCGACGTACATGCAAGAATATCCGAATATACACACTCGCACACACACACACACACGAGACCGCCACATGCTCCGAATGCACTCGTTGACAGTACAGTACATGTACACGCGACACGAACACACACCAAACTAATGAACAGGAACACTGCCCAACTTGTTCTCTTGCAAGATTTTCCTTCTTCTTCCCTCCTGTCCCCGCTTTCCTGAGAACCAGCTTTTCCGACACCTTTTTCCTCGTCTCCTGTTTTTTTTTTTTTTTTTTTTTCTTTGCGGAAGGAGAGAAGCAAGCTGCATTCACAAAGATTTCCCTGTGACTGCTCTCTCTTCTCTGTGCACCACTGCTGTGTATTTTTTTATTTTTTTTTCCTTTTTTGTTTTACTGTTAAAGCAGCAAAGAAGGACTGTTGAACAGACAGAGGTGGGCTCGGGGGTTACGGGCTAGGACCCGAGGCTCTCCTCTGGACTGAGCCCACAGCTCGGCTCAGATAGCGAACAGTGGACTCGCTCACACAGGAAGAACTGTCGACCACGGGCTGCGAGTGGACTGCTGGGGTAATTCTCTTGTTAAAATTACCTTTTATAAGGAAATGACCTAGAAAATATCAGTGTTTGCCTTTCAGTAAAAGGAGAACTGTCGGCCTAATGAATTTGCAGCAGTTTAAAAAAGCCTATTTTTTTGCTTTTGTGCATTGAAAAGGCCCAGCACCAGCATCGTCACGAGTCTCTCCTCCAAAAGGCCAGATTGTTTTCTTTCTCTGCCGCCGCCACCACCACCACCAAGTCCTCCTTCTCCATTTCCTCACTTTTATGATGCTTTTAAGTCTAGGTACAACTTGAGCCATCAAAAAACAGGAAACAACAAAAACAAAGATAGGTGGTACATTGAATGGGGGAACCGAACAGCTTCCTTGTTTTGAGAGATCCTTGTTGTGGTTATTTGGGTTTAGTTTTAGAAAGACTATCTTAAAAAAAAAAAAAAAAAAAAAAGGAAAAAAAAACATATTAATGCGCTTTAGAATTTAATAACAAATATGCTTCTGTGCACAAAGTATAAACCGATTGATGATTCCAGTATGACAGGAAAATGCATATTTTACAAATATTTAGATTAAAATGTAAAAAAAATAAAATAAAAGAATAAAAAAAAATATCAGAGATCTAGCTGACTGAAAACTTGTTTGGGTCCTGAAGGACTGTGCCAGTTTTTAGACTCAGTTCTTGCACTGGATAAATGGCAACCAATCAATTCCACTGCAACAACCTGCCCTTGTTTACTTTGTACATTTCCTCCTTCTCTATCCATTCTTTTTTTTTTTTTTTTCGTCTTTTCTCGTCTGAAGGTTCCACCTGTGTATCGGTGGCTTATCAGTGTAGTTTTTTTTTGAGCCACGCCCACCCCTCTTACCTCCCCCCCGACTCAGCAGAAAGAGGGGGCTGCCTTAGGTTCAACGTGTGACGTTTCTCCGCTCAGCGTACGAGTCCGACCCCGATCAGGCGGCGGCGGCGGCGACGACCGCGAGTCTGTGACGAGTTAAGGGAATGTACCTGACCACCTCTGTGTTTAGCTCTTTTGTGGCTCGGCGTTTCCTCCCAGCCGATGGGGGGAAGCGAGCATGGAGGGGGAAGTGGGACTACATCTGTGCTAAGCTCTGCATCAAGACCCCCCAGACATGCGCACAAAAGGAGGTAGTGTTTGCTTTTGTTGAAGACTTTTTTTTTTTTTTTTTGTTGGATCATTCATTGATTGTGATGATTTATTTTTGTTTGTTTGAGTTACTAAAAGATGTTAGTTGTTGTTTATTTTCTTTTTTTTGTCATCGATCATTTACTGGATGTCATGATGCTCTCGCTCCCTTCAGCAACAATCTGCTTGCATTTGAATTGGTGTTTGAAAAGAAATTACACAGGCTAAAGCACAACGACGAATAAAATTGAACTAGTTCTTTGCTTGATATTTATTTCCATTTTGTCATTTTTGTTTTCTTTTGATGTGTTTTTTTTTCTCCCCCGTCCCTCAAGACCCATTTCATTCCAACCACCGATGTCTGAATCTCAGTATTAATACTTCAGATCAAGTATTTCCTTCACACCTTCATACCTGTCTGTTAATTAAAACAAGGTTCACAGGTGAGACAGTGGTTGTCCCACGTTTTCCCGCCTCAGATCTCAGCGGCGTGACGTCGTTCTCCTGCAGAGCGGCGCGTGGGTTTACGTTGATTTAACGTTGATTGTAAAGTTCACAAAGCCTAATTAGGTTCCAGCTGGAAATCAGTTTAACATTTTCCAAAATTAGATCTAAATAATTGCTTGCGTTGCTTTTAAGCATCATTTAGCGGTGCATAGCGTCGATTGACTTTTCACGTCGGGCTTCGGTCAGAAGCCTCTCCCAGGTAAACCAAAGGACAACATTAAAACAGGCCCGACTGCCTTTCATTCAGTTTATGTTCTAACTCTGTTCTGCCTTTTTTTTTTTTTTGTCCATTTGAGGTCTTGTTGCCATGTCTCTCATCACAGTCCACGACTCATAGCGCACAGGAAACGGCATGCTGTTCAGACAGTTGGAACCTCTTCTAACTTTCACCGTAGTTCAGTTGTGCTGCTGGCTTCGTAGTCATTTCTGCACACAAAAAAAACAAATTTGTGAACACTGTTGATTTGCTTTTTTTTTTCTTTTTTTCTTTTCCCCATTTAAAGAATGTTTGGAAGTTGGGACTTTGAAACAGACACCTTGAGCTTTCTGTTGTACAGTTTTATCTCAGTCTCTGATGGCTGGTCAGGAAATGTGCTGGTGAAATGCTTCAATAATGTCTTTCTTTTCAGTATGTGCTCCTAACACTATTGTCTGCTGGGAACTGTTGGGGATATTGACCTAAAAACAAACAAACAAACAAAAAAAAATCTATACTGTCTTTTAATTTTAAGCCTCCAGCATTCTATTTTGTTTATTGTTCAAATAAAGGATTGTGCAAAAAGCAGTTTGCTAATCGACTGTAGTCCGACGACTACTTGGCTTTCTTATGATGCTGAGAACCTCCGCAGCAGCAGCCTGGACTCCGTGGACTGGCCTCCAGAACAATGTGCACAATAAACCAAAACAACAAAATGATCCGCAGAGTCCTGGTCTATCGCACGTTTTTAATTGGTCTCTTGTTCCTTTATGTCAACATACGTTGTGTGCAGTGTGTTCTATCGCTCCCTGCTGCGGTCCAGCTGGCTCCCTCGGTGCCCGCAGAGCTCTTTAGGGCCGCGGCTCAGCTCGCCTCTGTTTGGTTTAATGGGAAGCAGACCCATCATTGAAAAATCTGCCATGTAAGGTTTTTTTCTTCCCGTTTAGCCTTTCTTACTATTTATTCCCTCCTTACTATAGCTTGGCCGTCCGCTGAAATGTGGCTTTGCTCCGAAACTTACAATCAAGCGTAGTATTTTCCTCGTTGATGTCAGGAGGCGACTACAAGATCTCCTCTTTTACGGGCCTTCAGCCTGAAGAGAAAATTACATGTTTGGACACCTGATAGACCACCTATACTCACAAGTGTCAGCCATGCTTTAGGGCTGATTGTGGACGTATGTGTGTCGGGCTGCTCCTCCCCACAAGCTGTAAGTGGTTTGCTGAAATCGTGTAGAAACCACTTTTAACGGCCGCCGTGTTGCGACATCCACAACAAGATGAAGTGCTCATGGCGCATGTTTTAAGAACAGCTTTTCTGTAATCCGAGAGTGTTGTTGGGCCTTTCTGAGCGATTAAAGCACCGAGTATCACAAATAATATCTGGAGCGTGGATGAGCAACCCAGAATTGAGCGCGCCCTCGGGGGCTGCAAAGTCGAACCACATGGAAGAAGCAGATGAGAACAATAAATTCTCCTTCAGCTCCGCAAACAAACCCCAAAAAACTCTTAACTGTGATGACTAGTCGTGTTTGTGTAGACAGTCATTTAAAACCGCTAAACGGCCACAGCTCGGTAGCAAACAGCGACGGTGTCCTGACTGCTGACGCTTTGTGAGCGCTTCAGTTAAACGTGACCTTTTGAACCTCGTCCGTGGTGGACGCCGGTTTCGTATCTCGGCTTCGTAGAGTTTTCTAGCTGCAAGTGAGGAAAATCCAACCTGCAGGCGTTAAAAGGCTCCTTTCATAGAGGCTGTGTCCATGATTTCCTGCTGCGTTATATATAGCAGACACTGACACCAGGTGTGTGTGGACCAGACGGTTTCTGCCTCGTGTTTGTGAAGCATTGTACGACCAAAGCTTCAGCGTTCTTCATCTGGCCGTCCGTACTCATTGGAGCGATTTAACGCACTTCCTGTTGCGATCCACCCACTGGTTGGTTGTTTTATAATCGGCCTCGTTCACCATATGGCCTCTTCATTTAGGGTTCTTCCCCCCCTTTCTCACTTTTGTGTCTTGTTTAGAGGTTCGCTCCGCAGTCTCTACGGAAAGTAAACATTATGGCAACCAGAGTTTCGAGGACCTCCGTGAGCCCCTGTCCAAATAAAGCCGCTCTCGTGGAGAAGCCTTCCCGTGCGCTTGATCTTCACGACAAGACAAGCTCGTCTCCCACCTGCTAAAGATTTAATCATGTCAGAAAGTAAACAAGAGAGGGATGTTTGAGTTGTGTAATCCTTCTGTTGTTTTAAACCGACTAATGCAGGCCTGCGAGTTTCCAGTTTCCATTTGGAGTGAATTATACGTCGAGGTTGATCCAGACTAATGAGTAACACTTCTGAGACTAAAAACCTCCTTCGGCGTTGGGAACAAGTCACCAAGGCAGGCGTATATATCATCACTAGCGTCTGTCAGAAAGGGACCGCTCAGGGTCGGGAAATCCACATTGAGGTTTTGTCAGTCAGAACAATTCCCCCCCAAAAAAACAAATAAATCCCGAAAATCCACTGGTTGACTTTGTGGACTGTTGTCGGGAAATCGAATAGGCAAAGGTGAAACATGAGGACACCAGTAGAGCAGGTTGTTAGCGGGTACGGGGGAAGCCGAATGCCAGATTTTGAATATTTTGCATCCGTAAATAAAGCTTTGGCAAAGAGTAGCAGTTTCACAGAGGAAAAATAATTGGTGTTTATTTGTGGATGGTTTCGATTCAAGCACAAAGAAAAAAAAAGTGCCAGAGGAGGAGGAGGATGAGGAGGAGAGGGGGGGAACCATTTAAAAAACAAATCATGGCAACACAAAAATAAATGTGGTTTCAAGTTTGCAGTTATTGAAATCAGAAGCGTTGTATAACACCTCAAAGCTCCGGTTTAAAAGGTCGCATTTGAATTTAATCAGAGCCTGCTGAGTGTTCTGATTATGTGCGGCACATGTAAACATCATATCCTGGCGCCTGGTGGCATTATTCTGATTATCCTCTGGTGCTGCTCGCCGGTGATCAGCAGGCTCTGACGTGCAGACAGGAAGCAGCCATGTCACCCCCTTGTTTGTCGGATGGAGAATCAAAATCCAGCAGTTCAGGCAGCCAGACATCCAGCCTGTTCATTCTCAACCGCTGAGCTTTCCCAGTCAGAAATAAGCGGCTGATATATGGAACCGTCACAACACACCTGCTCTCCTCAATCTGGACACTGTGGATGTTCCATCATTCATACAGGCTGCAGGACTCGGAGCCAGGGTACCACTGATAAGTTTGTGGAGGTTACGTAACGTGGTGTAATATTTCCCCACATGTGGAGGGCTTTGTGTTCGGATAATCGACCTGCGGCCAACCCATCAGGATCTGATTGGGTTGTGTAATTGTTAATGGTACCGGCTCTTTGGTTGTTCTACATTATTGGATTAGTGGAGACGACACACTTTCCCAATAATGCTCTAGAAGATGTGCATAGTTGAATTAGACATCTGGATGGATCCTAGATTGATCTTTTATATCATGCCTGGATTGGATCCCTCAAAACAAAAGATATTTGACTCAACAAAGACCCATAACTACAGCTGTCAGGCGAGGATCAGTGAAGTCTTCTCTCTGCAGAGCAAAGCCACCCTCACTAGCATCTCTGCAGGACGTTTAAGATGCACGATGGGCCAGACTTCCTGTTAAACACGTATTCCTCACTGAGTTCAGAGCCAAAGCTGGCGGAAGAAAAAAATCAGGTCTGCAAACGTCTGAGATGCTTCAGACAGAAATCAAGCACATGACGGGATAAAATGTGAACTATTTGGGTCACAACACAGCGAGACCTCTGTGGGGTCAGTAAGGAGATACGACGGCGACACACGATGAGACCTGTTTCCAGAGCAGCGATCAGGGTTTCCTCTTGCCAGCGACTCTTTTCCCTCCTTTATCCTCCGTCCACCTGTTCCAGAGTGTCTTTAGCTTTTGTGTGGCGGAGATCTAAATGAAGCTGGTGTGGTTCCCAACACGAGATGCTCTTTTGGCTTTCAGGCTTCCATCTGAAGACATGAGAAGCTACAAGCAGGGAGATTACAAACTATTAAATTAGTTTTCAATAATATGTAATATATTTTCCACACTTTTTGTATGTTCTAACATGTTTGCATTATGAGTGCATGTGGCTCATTGCAGCAACTAGATTCCTTGTTTTTGTGCTGCTGTAATCTTTGTGTTTTGTAGGAATGTGAAGTCTGGATGTGCTGACCTCTGACTCCCCCCGCTGGTGTAGGGAGCGGTGAAAGCAAAGGGCAGCACTGATTTAGAAGCTCTGAGGACAGAATTAGACAGTGATATTTTTAATATATCTTTAATTTCTATAAATATTGCTGAAAGATTGTTGTGGTTAGTGGAAGAGAAACAGACATGAATCAACCGTAAGTCAGCAAATGTTTGAGGATCATCCCCCAAAACAAGAAAATGGAGTTAATCATGACAGAAATGCTCCTTATCATGGGGTTGATTGACTTTCATGAGCAGTAAACACATTTTTCCAACCAGTAGATAGAGCCACTCGTTTATAAAGCATTAATAACCCATCTATTATCTATTATTGAAGCCATTAATTCCAAATTATTTGCCTCCTTATAGGTGATATCTGAACAGGTAGTGGAGTCCAAACTTTACTTTTAACTCTGACCCAGAATCCAAACACCATGTGTCCACCGCTGCCCCTGTTCGGTTAAACGCGCGGTCCAGAAGACCCATATCTGGGTAATAACTGTCACCCCAGCGTGATTCAGGGACGCTGATCTAAGTGGCTGCCGCTGACTCGTTTGACAACCTGCTGATTTACAGTATTTGTAGCTTTTCCTCCTGACGGCTCGTCAGTGTGCGCACAGGGCGCGCTGCGTGCCAAGAACATAGCCTACTGCAGGGAGGGAGGGAGGGAGGGAGGCTGGCGAGTTAGGGTGGTGGAGGGGGGAGAGTGAGTGAGTGAGTGAGTGAGGAGAGACAGTAATTTTTTCCTCTGGTCCTGAGGGGTCTCCTTCTCTATATAAGGCTGTTCAGAGCTGCTCAGGAGTCACACAGTTCCTATGCGCGTCAGGAACACCGCCAACAAGCAGCAGCAGCAGCAGCAGCCTCCTGTCCTCTCATAAGGGAATAATACAGCTCCCCGGCGCGCACACGAGACTGAGCCGAAATATTCAAGCGACTGGATACTAACTGAGGAACACAGAGGTGAGCAAAGCATTTCATTGGAGCTTTCAGGTGTAAAGTTGGTTTAAAATCAGCAGAACAGGACGCACATCACTCTGCAGAAATATTGACAGAACTTATAACCTGCTTGCATTTTTTCCACATTTATTAGTATGAGAATATGAACGCTGAACACTTTCAGCTCTGATGTTTTAGCTGTGGTTACTGTGGAAGACTGTGCCATTCATTGTCTGCAGCCTCACTGTGGAAATGTTCATGTGTGAGCAGCAGCAGCAGCAGCAGCAGCAGCAGCAGCATGGTGGAAAATACTATATAAAGGATGCAACCTGTTCAACCAAAAGGGAAAAGTCCTGCATTTCAGAATTTAAGTTATCTATAGAAACAAAAATCCATGTTTCATCCATGGGGGGGAATTAGGTTTAAAAAAAAAAAAAAAAAAGAACTGGCCAAGTGCCAATATTTACAGGCTTAAAAAGTAAAAACAGGCAAAGTGTGAAAATATTTCCAAATCACATCATCTCCGTTGTGCCATGAGCTGCTGTTTACATCCAGCCTCGTGGCGAGAGGTGGGAAGCAGGTCAAGTCCCTGCTCACGTCAGAGAGCCCAGTTCCCACAGACAAGATGTGGATGTGAACGTGTGTCTTCTGCTCTGTCTGCCACTCGGGTATAAAATTCATGAGAGCCATGAGAAGGGCCCAGACAGAGAAGCTGGTAGAGGTTCAGTGTGAAGACGAGGGGCACATGGAAAGGAGAAGGGTGTGGTGCCTGGGCTGCCCAGAGCTGGCACATGTTGACACAGAGCCGGTGCCAGACCTCGAGCTGTCTTTCTCAGCCAAAGGGAAAGAGGTGAAGGGATTCAAGGATAAGAGCAACCAGTGCACGCCGGAGCTGGCTTTATTTTCTCTTTCTTCTCTGATCACACTCACTGACTCCTCTTCGCTCTCTCTCCCTCTGAAAGTTTGCGACTCTGCGATGTTTGGTTTAGCTTTAATCTTCCCTCTTGCTTGTTGCCTTTCAGAGAGAGGTCAGACACAGAGTCAGTTACACAGCGCTGCTGCTGCTGCTGCTGCTGGATGTGTCAGGAATGCAGTGTTTTGCCTGAAGACGGTTCAGCCGGGTGAAAGCTTGACAACCTGAACTCAGGTCTCCCGTCTCAGTGTCTGATCCTGCTGCTCAGTTTGGTTTGAAAATAATGAGAGGCAGTCAGGGTGAAGAGATGGGCAGCGCTCTGTGGTGCAACAAGTTCAACAACAAACCCATGAAGCTCAATTTATTATGAAGTTAATGTTATTACTGGGTAGAAAGGCTAACATATCTTCAGCTTAGACACGTTTCATCTTCTGGATGTAGAAGAGAACCTAATTCATGTTGTATTTGTGTTGATGCAGAAATAGTTGAAGCTGTTCAAAATAAAAATAAAAACTCATATTAAACACATTTAAATACATCAGAGGGAAACTCACAGAATCATAATGCAGCAGCATAATGTCACAAAACAGTGCCGGTATCATGATGTCGCCACTTCTGTGCTGCACAATATATTGCAAGACGAACATTTTTGCATCACGATATCTGAAATAGTTTGATTTAGTCACATCCTGTTACCTGTGCAACCTGATGCACGCTGACAATATGAGTCCTGAGCTTTTGTTTCCACTTCATCAGAGGAGCTGCTTCACCTTTGGGATCATTCTTTACACTATAAGAGGGTGCTGCATTGGATTTAGAACATTAGAATCACCTTTCAGTACAATCCAACCCTTCCCAAAAACTTCTCAAAGGAAGGACTCATTGCAGGGCAGTCGTGTTGCATTGCATCATGTTCTATTAGAGGAACTAATAAAGAGTCATAAACTGGCAAACGGCTGAACTGACAGAAAGCAGAGAGTGAAAAGCTTCCCAGCTGAGCTTCACTTTGCTGTGCTTCACCATCACAGGAGTCTCTCTGCAGGTACTGGCTGTAATATCACAACACAATAAAAGCACGAAGAGTTACGTCTTTCACCGTCGATATTTTATTCCAACAAAACAACCAAGAGAGGCAGGCAGGAAGCGTCTGAGTGTGTGTGTGTGTGTGTGTGTGTGCTTTAAATTGGCAGCTTTGTCAGAGGAAGCGTCTCCTACACCCGTTTAGTAATGTGAAACTCCCTGTATTTTGTAACCTGCACTCTGCTTTGTTGACTCACACAGTGGGGAAATACTCATTAAACATTTCCTCCCTTCAGGTTCAGTCGGGGACTTTGAGGAGCAACGTTCACACCAAACCCCCGCCGTGTGAGTGTTTCAGTCTGAACCCAGACAGGATGACCCGCGCCGCCGCCGACGCCGCCGTGACCTGCCTCCTCGCCCTCTCCCTCGTGCTCATCAGGGACTCGGCCTCCCTCTTCTTGCCCGACTCCAAGGAGCTCAGGCAGCTGCTGAGCCGCTACGAGGAGGAAGCCGAGCAGAACCCCACCGCCGGCAACAGGACCCGTCGGTCCATCCGCTGGTCGGACCGCGAGGAGATCCTCCAGCTGCACAACAAGCTGAGGGGCAGCGTGTACCCCACTGCCTCCAACATGGAGTACATGGTGAGATGTTACCCCCATCACACATCACACCGGTGTTGCCCTCAATCAACGCAGATAATCGAAAGTTGCCATCTTTGGCTCCACCTCAAAGAGAAGTTTTCATGTGTCAGCAACAATGAGCACTGAAGCGAGACTGGTAATTAGGGTTTAAGCTCCTTTTTCTTTCTTTTTTTTTATTCTGCCCAGAGTTGCTGCAATAAAAACAATCTTTTCTCTCTGCTGGAAACATGCAGTCATGATGCTGAGCTCCTGCCAGCCTGCTGTGCCACCTTCTTTTTACAGGGAGGATAATAATGCTGACTCTGTCCTACCTGCAAACAGCTCACAACACAGGAGCGCTGGGTCAAAGGAGGACAGAGACTATCAAGCAAGAGAGGGAAAAAATTCTGGGCCTGTGTGGCAGGTTAATGGGTCGAGTAGTAGAGGGATGATTGTTGAGGAGGTTCCTGAAATCCACGTGGTCCGTACAGTCGAAAGCGGCGGCCTGCGTGTCTTCTCGAGTGCGGTTCTGGTGTCGGAGGGAAAGTGTCTGTAAATGTACTCTTGAATTCCAGCGAGCAGGCGGCCTGTGTGTGTTTGTGTTAGTGTATGGCTGTTTGGGGTTACAGTGGTTGTCTGTGTGTGCATGTTTCAGCGACCACCAAAAGGCTGGAAATTTACTGAGGGGATGTGCTTTGAGGGGGCCACGCCGTACGCAGGCCTTCCACGGCGCCCCCCTCCTCACTGGGAGTCAGGTGTCTTCTCTGCTTTCCAGCCTCCTTTCCACTGCTGTAAAAGAATCCCGCTCAGGAAATGTGGATAATTCAGCTGTGATTGCTGGAGATTTGTAGTGGACCGGGGCCAGGCGCCAGCAGCTCCGCTCGAGTGTCACCGTTAATGTTGTGCTTGTGTGCGGCTCGGTTTCAGCGAACTAGGAAGGAAGGAAGGAAGGAAGCAAGGAAGGAAGTGCAGGAGCGGGAGCCTCGAACAGGTTGCGGTTAGTCAGAGTCAGACCATGAGGTGGATTCTACTGGATGCAGCAGGTGACTGTGAAGCTCTCCCATTGGTGTCTAACAGGAGTGACTTCCTCGTTGCAGGTCTGGGATGACGAGCTGGAGCGGTCCTCCACTCAGTGGGCTGAGGAGTGCCAGTGGGACCACGGACCTCAGGACCTGCTCATGTCTATCGGACAGAACCTGGCAGTCCACTGGGGCAGGTGAGATGAAACAACACACTGATTGGGTGTAGCTCTATAATGCATCAGGTTTTATCTTCTAATGAATAAGTGGAAACAGATATTAAATTGTAAATCAGAATGTTCAAATATCTCTACAGTGAGAAGGCGGCGTGTCATGATGTGAGTCATGTTGTTAGCTGAGCTTTGTGTTGTGGTTCCTCGCTTCGCTTCAAGGAAGAAAAAGAACAATTTTCTTCAACACCCTTCAAAATAAATAAATAAATAAATAAATAAATAAATAAATAAATAGGGCATACAGTGGATGCAGCTTGTTAAGATCGTGGCATCATGGTTCATCTCCTCCCCTTTTTATATATAGATATATATATATAGATATTATCACTTACTGATAAGAATAAACGTATGAAATGTTTATAAATTGTTGTTATTAGCAGCATTATTATCATTATTACAACATTTCCTAATGTCTTATAGATTAGGTTTAAGACATTTATTAAAGCGTAGTCCTGTTGGTGTTTGACTGATGGCCATCATTTAATCCGATGTAAATGCAGGTGGATTTCCATTAACAAAAACTAAATAAGCTGTGACTTAATAGTTCCATGTAGCAGCCTGTCAGAAGATGATGATGATGATGATGATGATGATGAGGATGATTGGACTCGTCCAATCAGTCAAGAAAAGTATTGACTCGTGAGGAACGATATTAAAATTTCTGGCTGATACCGATATCCGATATTAAGATTTCTGATATCGCAGATAACCGATATTACCGATGTCGATATTCAATTTTTATTCACATCAAAAAATGAGTAGAATCAGAATCCGATTTATTGGCAGGTATAGTTTACACAATACAAGGATAAATATAGAGTAAAACAAAAGTAACTAAAAATAAAAATAACTAACAGTGCAAAGCAGAAGTGAACAAATGTTGTGGAGCGAAGAGTTAAAGTCAAATTTAAATAAGAACCATAAAACTGTCATATTAGTTACAAGAACATTGAGGGTGCAGATATACTGATATTTACATTTATACAGATTATCAACAGAGTGCAGATTGAAGGTGTGGAGGTGCAACATGACCAATAACAGATGATGAGAAAAGAGAGAAGTAACACGTTAACATATACAGTCCATAGAGGGGACAGGGGGGTCCTGTGGAAAGAAACTGTCAATACGCACTGTGAGACGTGAAAACTATTCAAAAGAAGCCCAAGTTAGACCACATAGTCTTCTTTATTATGTAGGTAGAAGTCAGCTGATGTGACATTCTCCTTCCCTTCCACTGTGTACAAAATTCCCTTCTTGACAGGAAACAACAACCTCCAGGCTGAAAATTAAACAAACAAACAAACAAAAAAAAAACCCTACTGAAGGTTTGGATCATGCAAACCAATACAAACACCCCATAGCTTTTGTTCCCCTCATACATGAGGTGCAGCCAGACCATTCTCCACAGCACTTTGTAGAATGATCTGTCTATCCTACTCTAGTGATGGCAATGTTGGTCTGCTGTTCAGCTGATTCACTGGTTTGGTTCAGACTAAAATATCCCAACAACTACTGGGTGGACTACCATCATGTTTGGCACCAATATTCATACACCATAGAGGATGACATGTCATGAGTTTAAGGGTTTTGTAGCTGGTGGTTCACGATCTGTGATGTTATTCTGATATTCGATGACTTGTGAAATTGTTGTGTCTGCACTGAAATAAAACACAGTGTTTGTGTAAATAGGAAACAAACAAAATAGCTTGAAGTGATCCATACAAGGCTGCATATCCACGCTCATGCATGTTTGTATGAGGGGGAGGAAGATGGGAGGAGAGGGAGGAGAGGGAGGGAAGATGACGGTAGATCTGACACATGCAAGTTATCTAAACATACGAACCGGTTAAATATCAACAGTCTCCAGAGTTGCGGGCTCCACCTTTAAGAGATATTTTGTCACATAATCAGCCAGTTATTTTAATTTCCGTTGTACTGTCAGTGTTGCAAGAGGAAGTCATTACCTTTAAGCTGAAGTGATGAGCGTCCACTTGCAGCATGGAGTACAACAACTTTTCTAAATGATGTGGAACTGAGCTTTAGAGAGATCCTGGTCCACATGCATGAAGCGTTTGCATGGACAGTGGACACCAGACACAGTAGGCCTCTGTGCACAACAGCGTATGGTTATCACAGCAGGTGCCCTTCCAGGAATCTGCTCTCATTCTCACAACCCCATTCCTCCCTCCCTGTTCTTTTCTTCCTGTGCCAGCAAACCCTGATGTGGACTCCTTTTTTTTTTTTTCCCCACTCCCTCTCTACTCTCCACTTATAAGCTCAGCACTTTTCAATACCGTAAAAAGAGATGTTTATAATAAGAGCTAGAACTGATTTGTTCGGCTGTGGAGCCATGTTTAGGTTTGCTATGACTCTTTTTTTTTTTTTTTTGATTTAATTTCCCCTGTTATGGAGGGAACAGGCTGCCGCTCTGTGTGCCAGGTCAAATTCAGACTCATCATTTGAGGACTGCAGGGAGGAGGACGGGAGGAGGGGGAGGAGGAGGAGCAGGGAGGTTCATGCAGTGTTTCTCAAGTCTGGCCAAAGCACCTGGCAGCTCCCTCAGATATTTCCCTTTTGCCCCCGATACCTGGACGGCCAGTGACTGAGCCTACTGTTTTGTCCGTCTGTGTTTGTTTGCACTGCAGGTACCGCTCACCTGCCTTCCATGTCCAGGCCTGGTACGATGAGGTGAAAGACTACACGTACCCCTACCCTCACGAGTGCAACCCCTGGTGTCCGGAGCGCTGCTCGGGGCCAATGTGCACCCATTACACCCAGGTGAGACGAGTAAATGTCTGCATGAAGCTGAATTACATGCTTGAATCTCCAACAAAACTGCATTGCGTGGGGCGTTGCATTGCAGGTAAATGAGGTGTCGTGTTGTCAAGGAAGACGTATGCATCAAATTTAAAAAAAAGACATATATATGGTTTTACTGTAACATCTGCAGCACTGTGTTTTGTGAACCTGATGAGCAATAGGAGCTGTAATTATTGCAAGAAGCAGAAAAGCTTGGAATAGAGGAGAGTGTGGTGACAGAAAGAAGAGCAGGAAAGTGGGTGAAAAAAAATTAAGAAAAAGGAAACAGAAGGGGGTGAGCTATCCTCCTCTTCCCCTCCACTTTGCTTTGTAGCTGTTGGGATGAGTTTACAGAAACATCCAGACTCCTCCCTGTGCCTTCACCCTGAAACCCGATCGCTGCCATCTGGTAGTCATTTCCAGACACGCCAGACGTCCCTCACCGCTTGACCTGGATTCTTTTAAAGATGCTGCAGAGAGAGGACGGTTTCCAAATCTGAGCATCATCACCATCTCTCTCTGTCTTTTATTTGCCACCGGTGTCAGTCATGACTCCACGACTGCCTTTGATTGCGCTGTGCGCTCAGCACGCACTAGTCTATGTGCTGACTCACTGCTTCCAGTGGCCTCTGAGTGTACCAGGAAAAAGATGGACATTCCTGAGGAGGGAGAGTGCACGTTTGGGAGGAAAGTGTGGAGAAGTTTTGGAATATGCTGCGTCGTATTCCCCGTCAAATGGCACATCATTCATCTGTAACACCACTGCAGCAGCTTTCCGTTTAATAAGCCGTTTTATTTTACCTTGGACGGTTTCGGGGCCGGCGCTGACTCCCGTTTCTTCAGGAGATATTAAGATATTAAAAACTGCAGCTTTTTCCAGCTGGAGCTTTAACGGGATGATGAAAATGCTCGCGATTGTGTCACAAAGAGCAAAGCGAGTTCACGTGACGAGCCAGAATAACAGACCAGGCAGACCAGGAAGTCCCAGTGGGCCCATTAATTCTAACTGCCAATTTAGGTGCTTCCTCTGGAATGGCTGCTTGAACTTCGGGCTGCGAGGAAAGTGGGGCAAGAAATCTGGGCTACAAGTTCAATACTTTGCTCTCCTATGCGTCTGCCCGTTCTGTACGTGCTAACCATTTATTTATTTCCCTTTTTACAGCTGGTCTGGGCAACCACCAGCCGAGTGGGCTGCGCTGTGCACGTGTGTCCGAAGATGAACGTGTGGGGGGAAATATGGGAGAACGCCGTTTACCTCGTGTGCAACTATTCCCCAAAGTAAGATCAATGTTCCTCCGTGTTCCACTGTTCATCAACACCTCTGGTCTCTGGACTCGTGTTTACATTCCTTCTCCTTGCAGGGCGAACCAACGCTACAGTGTGTGCTCCTAATATAGATGCTCTGCAGATATGTTATTGTCCAAGACATTTGCATGACATATTGGTGCCATTAAAATTCCTTCAGAAGTCAGAAAAAAAAAGCACGAGGAAGGAAAATAAGCACAGAGTAGGTGTTTGTTTTCCAGACAGCCCACAGGATGTAATTGCCTGACAGACAACGAGGACTGTTTTTATTAGTTGGTGGGACTAATGACTTTTAGGAGTGTTGTCCACGGGCAACGACTGCTGAAGCAATTACAATGCCATGAGGTCTGCGACGACAGACCGATGATTAATTTCCACCTTACTCAAGCTGTCCATTGTTCATTTTTTCTGCAGGGGCAACTGGATTGGGGAGGCTCCGTACCAGCATGGCCGCCCCTGTTCTCAGTGCCCTCCCAGCTTCGGAGGAGGATGCAAAAATAATTTGTGCTTCAAAGGTGAGCGAACCCACGAGATTCTCATTCAGTCGTTTAAGCGCTGACACCGACCTGAAACTAACTTGTCCATTTGCAGACTCTCAGCGCTCCGAGACCGAGGACATGAACGAGGTGGAGAAGCCTCAGGTGCCGCTGCCGCCTCGCACCACCGCCAGACCCGTCCCCAAACCTAAACCGTCCGCTCCGAAGAAACCCGTGTCCAAACCCTCCACGCCGAGGGCTACCGCACCCAAGACACCACCTGCAAAAACTCCCAGCAGCACCTTCCTAGGTAGCTGCAAGAATGATTCAGAATGACCTTAAAGCTTCATGTTTTGTGCTTGGCATTCATTTGTTGTCTCGGCCTTGCAGTTCACAACATCAAGTGTGAGACTAGACTGAGAGACAAGTGTAAAGGAGCAACCTGCAACAGGTCAGGTTCAAGAATTCTGATTGAAAATTAGATTTAAATATACATACACTCCCCCTCCAGTGTGGACTCACTCCTCACTCCTCTTCTGACTCTGCAGATTCAAGTGTCCTGCCAACTGCCTGAATAAGAAAGGGAAAGTTTGGGGAACCGTCTCTTACGATGTGGTGAGCGTTTCCAACCTTAAACAAACGTCTTGCACTTGTGCAGCACTTTAGAATTCACATCCAAGCCTAAATGTTCGATTTCTATCGTTTCAGCAATCAAGCATTTGCCGAGCTGCCATCCATTCCGGCGCCATCGACAACAACGGAGGGGTGGTGGACGTCACGAGGACGGAGAAGTTTCCGTTCTTTGTCAGATCCACGAAAAACGGCGTCGAGTCTTTGAGGTAGACGTCTGTGCTTGGTTTAATGGAATCGCATTTGCTGATGCAGCTCTTAAGAGTCACGTTTTCCTGCTTCTATGATTCACGTTTTGTGCAAGAAGGGGTTTTTCTTCAGCGGTTTTCCTGATTTCTAAACAATTTAATGTCTTTCACAGCAAATATAAACCTGGCAATGCCTTTGTGGTGTCCCGAGTGGAGGGTAAGTGAAGCATCGCTCCGTCAGAAGAGCGCTGAGTCATTATTGTGTGTCGTCAACCAACACAGTTCAGGTATATTCAGTGTTTTTTTCTTCTCTCCCTGTCACAGAAATGAGCGCCGACTGCTACACCACGGTGGCTGAAATCTGTCCTTTCAAAAGACTCACACCCTCACACTGTCCAAGGTACCGTCACATGGACAATGTTTTGATATTAACTAAAGCATAAATAGTTGCTTGAATAAAGGTTTGTTTTGTGGCGTTGTCAAACCAGACATGAAGCTTTCATTTATATTAAAATAAATTTCCTTTAACCAGTTTGTAGAGATTTAACAAATGGTTAAATCTGTAGTAGTGAGCAGATATAAATGTTTGTCAGCAACCATAACCTCTCCGGTGGTCATAAATGACAATATAGCTGCAATATTAATGTAAACCTATTAGGGGCAGATGTTGTTGTTGATTGTTGTTTGGCACCAAAACACTTTAAGATGGATGTTAAAGAAGTAGTTTTTTGGCAAGTTTTTTTGGGAAAAATGCCATTTATTAAGAAATTCTTAATGAGGCAAAAGAAAAAAATGAACCCCAGAAACTATGCCTAATAACTGACCTTATACATTCTCTCCTGTATGGACCGTACCACCTGCCCAGGTAAAGGAGTGAGGGGCAAAATGTAAATTAAGCCAAAATATGAACAAATAACAAAAGTATCACCTGGCTTCTGCTGATATATGCCTGAAATATGGATTTATTTAAGCATATATGTCCATATGTTCCATCAGATGTCAGCGACTATAAGAATTATTTTCCAATCCTTCTTGTCTTCGCCTTGTTCAGACGTCACACTGCTAAGGACAGATTCATGCAAAACTGTCTAGAAGCAACTCATTTCCAGACAATACAGGAAGCACAATAGAAAAAAAAATAGGCAGAACTACAACAGCACAGTAAAACCACCAACCAACCAACTCATGATTCAATAATCTGATCAATAATCAAAGACATCAGTGATAAGGTTAGGGAACAGGGTGCAGATGAAAAGGATGGAAGATGCAGCTCCTTTTCTTTCTTTTAAATTCTAAATAACAGGTATTAAAGTAAAGTTCTACCCCTCACTGAATTTATTGGTTTCTGTTTATCTGTGGCTGTAAATTTATACTATTGTTGAATTATGTTTTTTCTTCTTCTCAGAATTCTTTGTCCAGACAACTGCAAGATGCAGCCTTCCTACTGGTCACCTGTAATTGGAAACAACATCTACGCAGATGTAAGTGCTGCAAGTTTCCATTGTATGACTCCGAAATAAATCTTTACAAAGTGATAATAAATCACACTGAAAGTCCTCCCATGTGTGGATCTGCTGCACGATTGGGTTGCTTAAGAAGTGATGGGAATCAGTTGAATCACAGCATGAATAAGTCTCAGGGAGTAACTGGAAGGAAAGCCACAGACTGGCAGCGTTGCGTTAACCCACATGGGGTCCGACCACTCCGAGGCTCATAATTACATTATCTCAGACTAAGTGCCCTCAGAGGTAGAAAGAACTAGCTGGTTTACATCATCACTTCACGTCACCTCCATCATGTCCACGGTGGATTAATCACAGTAAAGCAGCCTTCAGACGAACCTTATCACATGCACAGTGTGGCGGTTTTCATGTTACTCCAGAAGCTTATTTTTAGAGTTTCCAGTTGACACAGTCACACGAGGTCAGCGTCGAGTTTAACGGAGCTTCACCTCGGATGAAACTGACCCTTGATGACGTCCGGCTGGGCGCAGATCGCGGTTCCCTGGAGACCCTTAAGCAAGCACACTGGCTCGTAACAAATGGGCAAAGGAATGTTTTGTAATCTCAGGCACCCAAATTTGTTTCTACAGCGGTGCAGAAGCTGGATGTTGGTTGAACATGAGACATAAAGCGTCTGGTTGGAATCGTTGGCGGGGCGCATGGACAGTGTGATCTATGTTTGGACTAGAGAAGAATGATTCTACTCCAGTCTGTTGATAAGAGCTCAGGGCCTGTTGCGCTGGAGCCAGACTTCTGGTTTAGACTTCCCTCCTTGTGTGTTAGCTGACATGTTTGTGACTGAAATATGTTTTGTGCTGCGAGAAAACTGCAGCAATATTCACGGAGGGGGGAAAAATGTTGTTTTGTCTCCACAGACCTCCAGCATTTGTAGATCGGCCATCCATGCAGGGGTGATCAAAGCGGACGGAGGTTTAGTCGACGTCCTGCCACTGGACAAGAGAAAGACCTACACTGGAATCTTGAAAAATGGCATCCAGTCTGAAAGGTACCACTCATAGATTTGTGGGTCAACTGCTTTTCCTCTAATTATCTTTCCCAGACTGTTGCACACTGTTACAAAGATAAATGGGTCAAGCATGATGGTGAATAGTTACCAATGGAACTTTAGAGAAATGGAATCCAGACAGCTATGACTTTACGTTTCACTCCCTAAATTCTGACTAAATAGTATTTTCGAGAAACTCCGTCGAAGAAAAGAAAACATGCATGTTTAGACATGATGCATCACAACTTCCAGGCAACCCGACTACCGCTTAGTTGTAATGAAGGCTATGAGCAAGTATTAAGGGAACATGTTCTCCAGAAACACACGTTATTGCAAAACTAATGACTCTTCACTAATCTGTTTCATTGGGAAAATCCCAACACATTGCCTAAAAAAGTCCCCAGAGGGTTTTAAAATCAGCCCGTAACACTATTTAATCCCAGAGGAGCCACACGAAAAAATTCTAAAGTATAATTATTGTTGGTATTATTTGGTAGTATTTCTTCCAAACCCATCAGCCACATGACGCTCACAGTAAATGGAGCGACTAAGTCCCACACCCACGGGGAATCTAAAAGCCCCGCAGACCCTTGCAGGTGTTTTTTTCCGGCAGATTAGTCGGGATTTGTACGAATTCAACAAAGATAAAAGGTGTCCCGTCCTAACAGGTGCTGCAAAGACAAACACAAGCACACGGTCATTAAAGGGGATCTTTATCCGAGCCTGTGTGGGTGGGCGGGTACGACGTCGGGGCTTAAATGCAAAGTCTTGCCTAACAATCAGGCTAAAGCGAGATTATTTTCCAAATATCATCCAGGTGATTTTCATCTGAGGAATAGTTCTTTCTGTATGTTGACTTGCAACAGCTTGTCCTCCCTTTTTTAATGGCCATAACTACGGACCTGGTGATCTACTAGCAGCAGGAAGATGATATCACCTTTTCCTTCATCCTGCACACTAATCTTTGATTGCTCAATTTTCCCCTGACTGGGGGAAAAAAACAGCTGTCAGGGAGCAAAAAAAAACCAAACACCAAACCAATTAAGTTGCAACAAATCTGCGATGTGGTCAGCAGTTAAGAGAAACCTGGAACACCCACACATACACACAGAATCCCCCAAAACAGCTCACTGGACTGTAAGCTGTAAAGTCTCCACATTAAAACACTGAGCTTAATTGTGTTTCCCAGTAATCATGCACGTTTTGCAACTCTCTGAGGGGAAATGAAAGCTCTTAAGTCTCAGTCCGAAGCCGATTTTTATGTCAGAGGTTACATAATGTGTATATATACAGAATAATATTTGTCTTGAACGCTGCTCAGCTCAGGCTTTAATATCTGACCAATGGGAGTGTGGTAAAGAAAACCTTGAGACGCAACTGGAATGAAAACAGGGAGCCTCGCAGTGAAACTGGACAAGCATGTTTGACAAGAGAATCCGAAACATGCCTGAGAAAGGTGGCTTTATCCGCCGTGTCCTCTTTTGATTTATGTCCGCTGTAATACTGCGTGTAGTGGGTTCCCTGCATCGCACACCATGTTCCTCCAATCACTCTCCTGCCTGCGGCCGGCTCCGGTGGACTGAGCTGAGGCGAGGAAGCCCTTGCGGCCGGTTCTGCTGGCATATGGGGTTGTAAGAGTAATGGTGTGGTTTGGTGTGTGGAGGGGCCACACATGGGAGCTTTGGTTACTTTACCCAGGCATGTCAATTGAGTGTGCAGAGTGCTGAGTGGCCAAAAATAATGCAAGTCTGATTCTATGAAATCTAATGCAGAGCTGTGAAGGCCTCGCTCAGGGCAGTGGGATAGGAGGTCAGTAAATGGCTGCGAGAGAGACAACGTGCCAACATCATGGCAGGGCTGGCAAGTTTGCTTTGCACTCTGTTGCTGGGGAAGTAATCACAGCCTATCCAATTACTCGGGGATGGAAATGCTGTCAGCCACTTAGTCAGTGTTTTCCTACACGGACAATTATCCGCGATCGGATACCAATCGCGCTGGTCTATCATGACTATTGATCATGGCAGAGCTTCAAGGTCTCTCGGCTAATGAACTAATTACAGTCATCGAGTTTAACACGTGCGGTCGCTGGAAGAGTCACGTTTAGAAATATAGCAGCAGTGAGTCATCCTGCCAACGTGCCATTTGGTGGATGTTTTTTCCAAAGATATTGCGAGCTCAAGAAGCGATTGCACACTTTTTGATGGATTTGGCTTCTGAGGGGACTTGGATGAGAAGATGCATTCATTTAAACTTAACTTGATTTAAAGGTGCACAAGAATAACAGGATAACTGAGCCTCTGCTGCTTCAGCTTCGTGCAGCTATAACGTGTTTTGAGAGAATTATAAGCATCACAAATAATAATAATCATAACTTTATTTATACAGCACAAAGTTGCAATTAAACAAATGTCAAATAAATTTACTGAGCAAATAAGATCATCCAGCAAACATGAGATTGAAGAGTTATGCAAGTCAGAAAAAGTCAAGACAGTGTTTTTATGTAACACAACAGCTGCTGCAGCAAAGTGCTTCCAGTAAGAAGGCTCATGAATGACATTATAAAAGTAGCCTAACAAGACTGCAGTGAAGGCCCTGTAGTGTTGTTAAAGGTGTAATTATACCAGAGGAATTTACACATTAGGGACTATTAGTACATTTATTAGGCGGTAAGGTTGGTGGTTCAATCCCCGGATGCTCCACCCCAAGTTGCTCCCAATGCATGGCAGCACAATGACGCGTGAGAGTGTGTGTCAGTGCTGCACTCTAACCCATTAACCATCATACGTGTTTTTGTCATGTCCGTCTGCAGCAAAAGCAACACAGACGGCGGCTCCTTCCGGCTATTTGTTGTGAGGCAGTGAGACGTCACTTCAGAAGACCAACAGTCACCTCAGCTGCCCTGGAAAAGCCGAAAGTGCCCACAGGTTGGATACCACAGCTGTTCGTCTGTTTCTGTGCCTTCAGTGGACTCACAACAGACTGATAGACCCTCTCCTCCCCCCCAGTTATCAAACAGTAAAAATGACCCAGTAAAGATCCTCCAATATGTTGATATGCTTATATATATATTTTTTGTCATCTTTTCCTAGACGTACAGAATATTTTATATATTATGATGCATTGAACAGCTGGTGCTGGAATCTCTGAGTTAGACATGTTTTACAGAAAGTATTATGTTTACATTGATGTCCTAATTACGAATATAAGTCGGTTTTCATACACAGGAATGTATACTGATCACACTGTATTTAATCATTGTGTACAGAATATATGATTTTTTTTTTTTTTAAAGGAGTACAATATATTTACGTTTTTTTCAGATTTAAAAAAAAAATAATCAACAGCCTTCTCTTTCTCACCAGGATAATATTTTCTCATCCTGAACATTTAGACTCTAAAGTCTAAATTGCATTTATGAGTTAAGTGCTGTGCTTGTTGTGAAGGTTTTGTTGGTTGGGCAAACCCGAAATTATCACACAGAAGGAGAGGAAGCAGTGTGGCGAATGAAAGTGTTTACAGGCAGCAGGCGCTGCTGGAGGAAAATGATGTTTCCCTGAGGAAGCTCGGCGCTGCTTCGGTGCCAGGCATGTGGAGGTGATCAAGGGAAGGACAGCTGGAGAGTTGCTGCAGATGGTCCTTCAGAACGTTGGCATTATTCACAGAGAGCCGATTTGTTTATAATAACAGACAGCAATAATATCCCATTTTTTTTATATTTATAAGTGCTTCGTGCTTTTCTCATCTCTTGATTTCTCTCGTCTTGGTTTTATATATTATAAAGAAGTTTGCCCCGTCCCCACCTTGGACAGATGAATGTGTTGTGTGTTACAGATACACAGAGAGAGTTTTTATTGTAGAAACTAGGCCACAATTTGAACGGTGTGAATGTGTGAAAGATTTATATCATCAAACTGCAACTTATGCACTTTGGAACAATTGACTCGATGCAGGAGGCGCCCGTAAAATCCGTCACTGTGCTGGACTGAGGCGTCGTTGGTGCCGACCTGATCAGTACCCTGTACAAACTAATTAATGGAAACAGATGTAAAGTCCGGTTTGTGCTGCAGGACCGGTTGGGGTCGTAAAACACACATTAGAGTACCATTGAACCTCGTTGCTTCGCCTGTCGGTTTTCTCGAGAATACAGAAGATGAGTGAAAAAAAACTGCAGATGTATTCCTTCAAGGATATTCCAACTTCCTATCTCTTTATTCTACCTCAGTCCTATCGCTACGCATTTTTTCTATACGGGAATCTTTATAGGGAAAAGTTTTGTAAAGTTACGGTAACTGTAAATACTTCTTTTTATTATTATTATTTTGAATCATCTTCCTTTATGCAGTAAGATTATAATTAAAATGTGTGAATATGTTCCAGTTGTTTTGGCTGTATTGTTTTTATAAAGGTGTCGGATGACTTCTGTATGTTTTTTTGCACAATTTTAAAATAAAATATGTCCAAAAAATGCCGATGCACGTGTTTCATGATATTGAAGAAATGATGTTGTTGAGAATATTTTGTGACACCCACATGTGACTTCACGACCGTAAACCAGCATCACAGTTTGATTCATCTGCACGGAAACACACGTAGTAAAACAAATGAACACACGGAGGACGACATGTTCAGCACTGTGGGAGACAAATGCTGAAAAAAGAAGCTAATAGCCATTGTAACGAGATCTCATAACTGTATAAAATGTGCTTTGACCAGAGCATCAGGCTAAAATCAGTGTGACATGAATTATGAATGAAACTTAGACCCAGACCACCCAGGCTTGGTCCGTTATCTTTGGAAGAATCTCACTGACCATGTTCAGAACCTGGCTCTGCTTCTTGCGGGCACAACGAAGTGGAACAACAAATAGTAGCGATCACGTCTCAAGGACCGCATACATCATCTGCCAATGGGGCTTTAGCTCGTAGAGGATGGGAGAAAGAAAGAAAGAAAGAAAGAAAGGAATCCTGGGACTTGGCTCCAGTGTCCTAACCTTGTAATTTTCCATTTCACACTCCTGGCCCACGTTCTCTTTTGTCAATTAACTCTGAATGAGATGATGAGGTTACTGCATGTACGCCATTAACGGATGCCTCATTTACTTTAACCCTGAGAAGGCGGAGAAAGTTCATCACAACCTTGTAGGCACTAATAGCCCTCCGTACCTCCAGGGCTTTTACTCCAGACAGATGTTCAATTTCACTTAAGCCCCGGTTGGACAGCACCCTGGTTGGACAGCACCCTGGTTGGACAGGGCCCTGGTTGGACAGCACCCCGGTTGGACAGGGCCCTGGACATTTTTACTGGTAAACAGCTGCAACTGGCTTGTGTGATGACTGTTTTACTCCCATTGTCAGTGGAGATAAAGATTTGTATTCACCCTGTTAATCCCCTGATTGCTGAGAGAAGAAGTTCAGAGGGGCTCAGTCCAAATTTAGGTTTTCTTTTCCTTCGCTGTGCTTTGCATTTTGGAACATATTGGTCAGAACAACAGCTGGATCACTTTGGACTCACGGGGTAATCGTGGAAGAGCCTTGTTTGTTGCTATTGTCAGTAAAGCCTATGAAGTCTTGAAAGTCTGCAATAATCTTTGAGTATATTTACCTCAATTAGACGTGTGGTTAACACAATCTGGTTCTACAATCAAGTTCTATTTTGTCAGTGAGTCACAAACATGTAGCTGCACTGATGCACATGTTCAATTATTTTAAACATGACTTAAACGCCTGTAACTATTAAATGTGAATAAACACTCTCATAGAAGACATGGAAGTAATTATCTTAAACCAGCACTTGAAGCTTCATCAGTTGGCTTTTAGAGGAGAACATGTCCCACAAACAGACATCCTAACAGCTATAGTGGCCATAACATTTGGTGCCCAGAAGATGAATTCTGGTAGCGATGCAGATCCCTGGACTTCTCCTCAAAGCAGCAGAGGAACACTCGAGGTTCAGGGACTCTAAATCTTCTGGTAAAACAGTTTACATGTTTCCTGATGCATTGTCATGATTTTGATGATGCCCTGAATTTACTTTAAACAACAGGAAGACATTTGGGGTTTTGAGGCAGCTTTGACTCAGCCTTGCATAAACTGCTGCGTCTCACCAAAAGCAGCCAATTAGGAGAAGAAAGTCAGTGAAACATGCAGCGTTTCACAACAACATGATTTGTAAACACTGCAAATAAGATTCTGTTGAGTCTGGAGTGGATGAGAATGTATAGCACTCGTAGCTGCTGTCAAATCTGAACCACTAAGAGGCCTTCTGTGTGTTTTCATGCGCAGTTTTACATGGTTCTAGTGGGACGGCCATGTGTGTGGCCACGCTGATGGTATTATTACCAGAACTGATTATTGGGAATTTTATTATTGGGGTTTTGGAAGGAAGAATGAGAGCTTATTGCACTCGAGTTCGTACATACCTGACAGGACCTCCATGGTCTGGATCACTGGACAAACAGAAGTAGTAGAGCCCAAATTATACGATGGTGATGATATTTTTCTGGTCAGAGAGGTCTTACAGTGCAGCACGTGGTTACGAGAAAACCCGCTGGGCTCGTTGTGGAGGAATTTTAGATTTAAAGAGGCTGGAATTAAATGCACCACGTTCCAAGAGAGACAAAGCCGAGCTGTGGCTGATGTTATGACAGGATTGTGTCTGGCCTGCAAGTTCATCATAAGGATGCAGAAAAATTTATGGACGATAGAGGCTTTACTGAAAACAACTGCCCTCGGTCAGGTGCTGATGTTATCATGTGGATCCCAGCCTTCGTTCAGTGTTTTGACTCTCAGCCACCTTTCATTTGACAGGTTGGCAGTGAGAGCCATCAAAGCCAGCAGGAGGGCTGGTTTGCTACCTTCCCCAGTTTGGAAGCTGCTGTCTTCCTCCCCTTTCCTGATAATTCCAGGAATGTCTGCCACATTATTGAACTGGGAATCCTCTGCATCCAGCCTGACCGGGTAATAGCTATGTCTGTCAACCTTTGTCCCTTTTCCTGCTACTTGCTGACTTTCCTTTCATGGCTGTCTTTACACCTTTTACCCATGTGACAGGTAATTAAGTGAGGATTGTGCTCTTTAGCTTCCAATATCCAGATGACCGGGTTCAGCCTCGGGGATGTTGGGTGTTTGGACGAAGAGTGGAGCTGCAGCTTCCTTGTCTAGTTTAATCTTCTGCCATGTGGGGGATGCAGTTCTTGGTCGTTCTTGTGGTGAGCGGTTTCTCTCCGGCTCCGATGAACTGGATGGATGATGCTGGTGTGCCTTCTTTTTGCTGGCTCTTATATCTCTCCAGTTCCACGATATTCTCTAGAGGCAGAAGCACTTTGTCACGTTGCCGTCCTCGTCTCTCTTGGGTGAGCAGTGTGCTGCTGGGCTGACAGGACGGAGGCCACAGAGTCTTTCTTTCCACTGAGCTTGCACAGTAGGTCCTGTCTCAACACCCACCTGTGCATGTTTGCTGAAGATGGGAGGTTCTTGTTTACTGAGCAGAAAATTAAATTCAGGAGGGTTCCAGCTTCCACAGTTCAGCACATGGAGCTCTTTGTGAGGTCCCACTGTGTCCTGGCCGCCTGCAAGTGAGCTCCACTGGTTGGTCCACAACTCTTACAACAATGAAGTTCATATTTTTGGCTTTAATGTTGCATTGGGGACTTTTATGGCAAAGACTAAAGACACTGATCCCTTTATTTTACTTTTTGAACCACATGTTGGTCCAAGTTTTCACTTCTCCAGTGAAAAAAAGATGGATTAGCACAAAACTTTGGATAGACATTTATGGTTGATGATGAATTCGAGCATCCATCCATCCATTATCTACACACCTCTTAATCCTCACTAGGGTCATGGGGGGCTGGAGTCTATCCCAGCTGACTCAGGGTGGAGGCAGGTTCACCTGGACAGGTAACCAGTCTATCACAGGGCTACACTTAGAGACAGACAATCAAGCACACTCACATTCACACCTACAGACAATTTAGAATCACCAATTAACCTCAACATGTTTTTGGTGTCATGTCTGTCAAGTTTCCGTTTTATGTTCGCACATTTCTTGTCCTGTCCTTCCTGTTTTATTTTGTAATCTGTTGTCTCTGTTTTAGGTTTACTTCCCTCATGCCCTTCCCCCGTCTCCTAACACCTGCTCCCTGATTGTTCTCCTCACCTGTTTCCCATCCTCCCTCATCACCTCTTGTACTTTACCCTGTGTGTCTCACATCCTCGTTGCCAGTCCAAGTCATAGTCTGTTTTGTGTACCACCTGCTTTCGATTTTGCCTTCTTGCCTCTCGTTTTTGGATACCTCTGCCTTACTGACTGATCACCTGTGTACTGAACCCTGCCTGGTAATGAACCTGCTTTTCTACCTGAATGTGTTGTGCAATTCTGTCCACCTGCTCTGTGCTCACTGAGTTCTTGACATTTGGACTGTGGGAGGAAGCCGGAGAACCCGGAGAGAACCCACGCTGCACGGGGAGAACATGGAGACTCCATGCAGAAAGATCCTGGGTGTCCTCACTGGGACGCGAACCCGTGACCTTCTTGCCCCTAGTGAGGATTAAGCGGTGTGTGGATAATGGATGTATAGAAAGGTAACCATGGTAAATTTTATACCTGCTAGTCCTGTCATAGTCAAAATGTTGACATACGATGTGCAAGAACTGGGTGAGGAGGTTCAGTTCACATGTCCCCACATTCTGCGTATGGTAATAAAAATTCCTTCTGTCAGGTAGAACCGAAAGTTTGACTTTTTATTACTTTTGCTAAGCCATAAAACACAGATTTTCTAGTGACAACTTCCTACACTCACGCTGCCAAACCGCTCAGGGAAATTCATGTGATGACGCTCTACTAGGTAATCTATCCCGATTGCTGTTTTATTTGGTTCGGTCTTCTTTGTTTTTTCTCTGCATGAGAGACACCGCAGTGAATCCTTGGCTCGGTTCCCGTCGGGAACTGGTTTGAATTCTGGCCCAGAAGGAGGCAACCCCAAGCGGGAGAACAAAGAATGTTTGTCAAAGAGATGATGAGGAATCTGAGGTGATGGTGTGTAACCGACCAATGTGGACTGGAGCAGTTAAAGCCTCACTGCCCGCATAGATCTATAGGCTCCGTGTATTAGTCTGAAATGATAAGACCTCGGTGATCTCTGGGCTGAGAGCCGCAGAGTTTTTCTTTCTCCCTTGTGACGCACTTTCGTTCTGGGAAGAGTGTGCTGAAGATTCAGAGCCCACTGATCAAACAAGAGTTACTGCACATATGCCTCACTCAGCAGTCAGTGTTTTGTGGTTAAAACCATAATCCATGTTATTCTGAAGACACACTGTCTGTCGGTAAACGACAAGCTGACTGTTGTCTGTCTTTGTGACTAAAAATCAACCC